GGTCCCCTCAGATTATGTGTGGTCATATGCCTACAAAGTTGCGTGGTGATGGGTGAAACCCTTGAGATGTTATACACCTTTATGTGATGAGCCACGCCCTCCGCAATATTCATTGCCTTATAGAAGCTCAGTTTTAGTAAGTTTTCCAACTTTTGCCAAGAGGGAACTTTAGATATTGGTCCCTAGATTATGTTCACCCAGTTTCATGCAGATCACTCAAACTTCCTAGGAAGAGATCCATTTGAAATGTTTTTCAAAAAATTCAAAATGGCGGAAAATCGTTAAAAGTTATGGGTTCTTGAGGCAAATGTGTTCCTCATGAGGAGAGGCATCTCTGTGCAAAGTTTCACGTCTCTATGACATACGGGGCATGAGATATGCCCATTCAAAGTTTGCAATTTCAATCGGTTGCTATAGCGCCCCCCTTTGGCCAAATGACGTAATATTGCTTCATTGGCATCCTCCCATGACCCTCTACCACTGTGCCAAATTTCACATGGATTGACCAAGTCAGTGAGGAGAAAAACATGGAACACACACACAGAGTTTTCGTGATAATATAGTAAGATACATATCAGGAGGGCCTCAAGCAGAGTCCTTAGAGCCAGCATCTAGTGGCCATTAAAGGAGGTGCTACTTCACTGCAAACAAATCCAAAGCTAAGTCAGGCTAATATCATAATTAGCATTCCTTTTAAGCAGCTAGTGTAGAATAGTGATGGGAACTAAAGGCTCAGTAAAAGAGAAACTGAGAGGTAGCGCTCGCTCAGTACTTCCTGCTTTCTGTGTTTTTCTCACTGCTGTGAACGTGTAAATAGCAACAGGAAACCGTTATGAAGCCATTCTCGATTTCGCTCTCTTTCTCTTCCTCCTGTCTTTCCTTTTCTCCCCGCACTATCCTCGTCATCAACCCCTCCTCCCTTCAACGCTTGGCTTTCATTTCTCCTTTAATACTGACTTTCCTTTTTTCACTTCACTACTTTTCTTGACTGTGAATGATAAACGCGACATGGTTTTCACAAAGAACCACGGCAATGCACCATACCACATATGTGTCTTTCTATGTGTTCTAGCTCAATTTCTAAATAGCCAGTCACGTGTGACTCCTGCCGTACATTAGTGCGCTCTGCCTGGGGAGAAAACCCAGGCGACGAGGGGGCTTGGCACGGGGCCTGGGCTTCACCACCACCACCCAGATACACCACCACATACACATCGAGCTCTTGGCTAGACTTGAAAAGCCTTCATTGACGTCTTAGCTGCTGTGTACAATTTGCTTCCTCTTCTGACTGCGCACACACACACACACACAAACAAGTACACACTTGTCTGCAAGTCTGTGGGTGATCAGTGCCATTTATTAGACTGCGGGGAAAAAGACTGGATTGAATGAAATAACTCCAACACACACTCAGACACAACTCTCCCCTTCATCCGTCCACCCCCACCCGAAGTTAATTGCTTCCTCTCCTCTATCTCTTTCTCTTCTGTCCCTTTTACTATCAACAGCTTCTGTCTCAAGACTGCTATTCAGTATTCACTTTCAATCTGCCTCTTGTGAGTCCCTAGAGGTGTAATACTAAATGTCTGAAGTGCCCCTCTAGGAAATAAAGATGGCTGACTCAAGTGGAAACAACCACTCACATTTACTGATCAAAACCCTTTGCTTTAAACCTTTCTATGATTAATCTCTCTCTTCCTCTCTTAGACTCCAGACAGATGCAGTCGTCTCCATCTTGGTCCTACGACCAATCATACCCTTACCTTGGCCAGATAACCACACCCTCCGTCCACACAGCCAACCCCCTCTCGCCAGGTCGATCTACGCTCGGTGACCTTTCCTCACGACTCACAGGTAACACACACGAGCACGTGGACACACAGAAAACAAGGAGAAGTCGGTGAATTCGTAGGTTGTAACCTCTGACCTTTCTCTTCAAGGTCCTGACCTCACAGCCTTTGGCGACCCCAGGATGACTTTAGAGCGACCTTTCACCTCCCTCCCCTCCTTGCCTGACTCCCGCTTCTCAGACCCCCGTGTCCACTACCCTCCGACGGCGGGCGCCTTCACCTACGCCCCCTCACACAACGCCGTCTCCAACAGCGCCCTTGGAATCACCATGGCAACCGCCATGGCGACCACTCCAGCGGGGAGGTACCACACCTATCTGCCACCCCCCTACCCGGCAAACAACCCCCACCAGGCTCAGAACGGGCCCTTCCAGTCCACCTCCTCACCGTATCACCTGTACTACTCCACCGCTGCCGGCTCGTACCAGTTCTCCATGATGGCAGGGGGAGGAGGCAGCAGTGACTCCCGCTCCCCGCCGAGGATCTTGCCACCATGCACTAACGCCTCCACGGGCTCCTCCCTTCTTCACCCGTCTTTGCCCAATCAGAATGAAATAGTGGGCGTGGAGGTGGAGTCCAGCCACAGTAGCTCCCCGACTAACATGGCGGCTGCTGAAGCTGTCTGGAGACCTTACTGAACCGGCATGGGTGGTTGAAGGCGACGACAGACATCAGACAACACTGGACAGATTAATACACACCGATCCAAAAGATATGAGGGGCCATAAGTCGATGTAACGTCAAAGATAACGCTCAAACATGGCGAGTTGGAAATAAAGGAACATTTTGCCCAGTGCCACAGTCACTGAGTGTTTCAAACAGCAATGGCGGAAGACGATTACCAGGCTGAAGATACACTCATGATACTTTTTGGTAGATGCGTTCACTGTTGGTTTGAGTCTTCACATGGGACCTTCGACAATACTGACAGACTTATCCTTCAAGAGACTCCCTGTAAGATAGACGAACTCAAACTTGTACGTGTACCGTATTGTATATTGCCCCTAGATTTTCTTCTAGACTCATCAGCAGTGAGCATGGAGGAAACTCAGTGGTTGCGACTCCCAGTGAGCGGCAGTATTGGTCGTCACCTTCCCGAAGTAATACTTGGGAAACTGCTTCCTAGGAATTTTATTTCTGGAGAAACCATCTGACTAGACTGGCTGGCAGGTGCATTGTTCAACAGGGTTTTTAATAAATGAAGGAACCAAATATGGACCGATGAACGGAAAGAAGCAGGGTAACATTTTAGTTTTACACTGACAAAGTGCATGCAGCAGCACCCGACTGATCTCAACTCAGCTTCCTTTATAAGACAAGACTTCTTCCTCTTCGATCTTGTTAATGTTTTTGTACAGATGATTTGCTTATGCCGCATAGTGTAACAGCCTGTTTGTGTTGACCTCTGTCATTGTTTCTACTCATTCTTGGTTGACTTTTTTTGTTTTAGAAAAACTGAGCCTATCATCTCTGACTTTACATTTGTTGATTATGGCAACCAGTGGGGATCAGTTTTCCATTTGCTCACCACACTGACAAACCAGTGCCGCATGGAGTTTTGTTAAATGCTTTTATTTATTCCGACAATAACATTTTGTAGTAGCATTTCATGTGTGTGTGTGAGTGCGTGTGCGATTCACTGTCAATTTTTACTGTATATAAATCTGGCTGTAAATGACAACTGCGTTTGATCACGTTTTCATCGCCCCTTCCTCTCTCTCTCTCTCTCTCTCTCACACTCACTCACATTCACTCACACTCACTCACACACACACACAATCATTTTGTTTTGACATTGTTGACAGCGCACATTTAGATTTGATTTAGATAAAGGGGAAAAAACGGGAAAAATACAACTTGTCTTGTGGTTACTGGTCAGCTGATTATCTTTCTCTTCTGAATGTTACCACCTGGACCTGTGCCACCCCCACCCCACACACACACACACACGCACACACGCACACACGCACACACGCACACACACATTTATCATTTGCTATTCCTGAACCTGGAGGAATTTCTACAGACAACAGACAAGCCCTAGCCTGCCCTCTTTGCCAGTTTACACACACACACACTCAGAGGTTGCTAAATAAAGGTGAAGTGCAGCCAAGCAGTTTGCGCACTGTATGAAAAGCTGATCTACTGTAGGCCAAGGTTAGGCTCTTGAATGATAGATTCCTCCAGCAGCAGCTCTAATAAATGGCGACTTGACTCTGTGGAGGCCTTCACCTGTTCGGGCAACGTTGTCGGCAAGAAGAGTGGGATTTGGAAAAGCTCAACATCATCTGGAAGAGCAAGCAAAGCTATGCATCATATGAAGTGTCATCTGAATAGGTCTAAAGGCAAAAGTGTTTATAGGTGTAGTAGTTGGCCAACCCCTTCACCATATCAGCTAGCTTCAAACTTTCCATTCGTACAACCAAGTAAAACACCATAAATGCCTTTGAGAAGAGACTGACACTACAAACTATCGAGCATACCCACAACTTTACAAGTCAGAAGCAACCCCGAGATATTGTTTGACAATCCCACAAACTCATTTGAAGCAATCAGCCATTACGCTTACAAGATTACCTCATAGAGGAAGCTTTTGGTTCCTCACCTTGTTGAGAAACCAAAATGAAGAGCATCATCACAAGGGCACACGTAGCTTTGGTGGCTGGGCCACATGCTTTCAATAGAGGCGGATGGCATCTCTTACGCTAAGACAAACTCTTACGTCGAGGGAAACAGGAAGTAAACGCTGGTTTTTAGAGGTAACTTTGCATTTAGTTTGAGGTATAGATTAGCCAGTAGAACATGTTATTTATTACTCTATTACTCTAGGCTTAGCAGGTTATATGTGCAGTCATTAGCCATGCTAAAAACTCTATAAGAATACCTTTGAAACAGAACAGTTTAGTCCATGTTAGAATGAATGACTAATTGAAATCCCTCTGCAATGAAGCTGGCCTCAACAGCAAAGTCATTTATCGTTGGTGAACAGTGACATCTAGTGGTGTAATTGCACTCTCAATGCCTTCTCAAATTTTGTGGGACCACAAAGTGTAGTTCCAGGAAAGGAGGTTGTGTCGTGCACTTTATCACAAACCTGTTACAGTTCAAATTATTAATATGAATTATTATATTAGAAAATAATTAATGTAACCCACATGACATTTTTTGTAGGTTCTCTCCTTATGTGTCATGTCTGGTTTTACGTCCTGTCTTTGTGTGTTTTCCCGCCTTTTTTCTGCCAGTTGTCCTCTCATGGATCTGTACAAGGCTCTCTGTTGTTTCACTTAACCGGCCTGTTGTGATCTTTACCTTTTCTGATTATGTTAATATCGGCAGTTATCTGAAGCACCTCAGTGAACAGCTGCTTGAGGAAGGCTGTCATATTGTTGCCCTCACTTTCCTCCGGTATGTTAAATATACGCACATTATTTTGTCTGGTCGTTTTCCAGGTATTCAGTACGTTCCTCCATCTCCAAAACTTTATTCACCAGATACCTAATTAATTTATGGTGCAGTATTCGTAACTCCCAAAGTCGGCACTCCACCTGTCCCACTCTGTCGCTCATTTTATCTAAGTCAAGGTGTAGTTCTGTCCTTGAAGTCCATCCTGAAATCCTTGATTTCTTTTGAGAGTGTTTCCTTTAATTCAACCATCAGGTGTTTTTAGAAACTAAGGAGATAAATACTGACCTCAAGAGTTAGTGGAGACCAGAAACTCAGAGAGATAATATTGGATTGACACTCACCAGGAGACACAAACACCTGTTCTTGTAACAATATGGAAATAAATAAAGACAAAAAAACTAACATGTCACTCAACCCCTAACCCCTCACCACAGACTGTGCGAATAATGCACATGGCTACTGTGACATCACCCATTCTCTTGTTTTTGAAGTCTCGAGTTTGGACTTTCGGCTGACCACATTTGGACAAGAAGTTGGAGCTGTGGAGGATCGAGGGGTGGATCAGACTGTAGTGACACCTCACAGACAGCCCATCACTCAAGCAGCCCTGCCCTGAAATATGTGCCCTGTAAAATTGGGCATCTGGACATGGGGCTCTATTGGGATTGACATTCGATGCCAGTTTCACAATTCAACTTCCAGGTTTTTCAGCATTCATTTTCAGCGATGCTTTGTAATTTAGCTGTTTTCTTCTTTAACTTGTACCTCTTGTTTTGGGTAAAACTCCACAGATTCAAAGTTTTAATTATGATTCAACATTGCGTTCTGGAACACAAACATTCAGTATCTTATTTTTAATCTCAATTGTTTAAATAACAGGCTTATTTTCAGTCTGGCTCCTGGTACAGTTGGGCTAAAAACTATTAAATCTCAAGAAAGTTTGAAACTGAGTAGAAAACTAGTTTTATTACTGTACAATCTGGGAATGTGGCAACTACAAAAAGTTGCCAACTGTCGATAAATCCTCAGAGAATGTGTTTACTTCCTCAGCATTTAGTCTCACAACCTGAACCTTTTCTTCAAAATAAAAAAATAAAACAAAATCTCAAACAAGCTTACTAAAGTATGCATTTATCAACATTAAAATCAGATCTGTTACAAGAGCACAGCTTTAAAGAGATCAAATATATGTTGTGTGAAGGCATCTCATGTACACATCCAGAGACAGACTAGTGTAATTTCATTTGTCTGCTCCTATCGTCTTTTGTAAAGTAAAAGTGACGCATAGCAATCTTGACGTGCAGCACCTCCCTGCGTCAGTTCTTCCAGGTGTAGCTGTAGTTGTTCATGTTGATGTGAGTCAGAGCGGTCTTGCTCAGAGTGGACGTCTGCCGCAGCTGCTCGATGGAGGCGGGATGGAGGCCGCAACCGGACAGGTCCGACCCACCGGTGCACTGCAAACACACATACGGTTCATTAGACAGTGATGTCCAAACAAAGCTTCATGAACCACCAGTTGTATTTGCGGAACCCACTAGATGGCGCTCTTGGTGTGATGAAAAAGGCTCAAGGGATGGCAATGCAGTTTGGTTTCAACCCTTTGTTGAACAAAGAGTGCCAGAGTGGACCCAAAAAATAAAGACAATGGTTCATTAAGCTTCATTTGGCCATTACTAGTTGAAACCAAACTGCATTGCCATCCCTTGAGCCTTTTATTACACCAAGAGCGCCATCTAGTGGGTTCAGCAAATACAACTGGTGGTTCATGAAGCTTCATTTGGCCATCACTATCATTAGATGTTCAACATGTCCTCATTGACTCAATCGTTTCACTGAAAGTGTATGGCTGTCCTACCTGTTGCGTAGTGCTGCATGTGTTCATGACAGCAGTGGGCGCGTGTGTGTAAAGAGCAGCAGAGAAGTTTCCTTTCTGTGCAGGTCGGAGGAGGGTTGTGATGGTGTGGAGGGAGGAGGGGAGGATGGGTCCTGAAGGAAAGAGGAAACCATTAATGCTGTGGATGCCTTTGCAGGTGGAAAAGCCCACTAGCATAAGCTGGATTTAGATTAAGAAGATCCCGCAGCTGCGTACCTGTGATCTCCAGGCTGCTGATGTTCTGGTACGTAGAACCAACTTGGCTCTTCACATTGACGCTGCGAGCCTGAAGAAAAACACACAGGCTAAGAGATGCAGACACAGAAACACCTATATATATATTTACAGTCTTTGTGTGTGAATACCTTCAGGGTGTGCATCGTGGCTCCTTTGAAAGCACCGGGAGCCAGGAGCGTTGGAGGTAACCCCGCCTGGGAGCCCGCTGAAGCCACCAGGCTCTTACAGTTGATGAGGAAGTTGATGAGGGTGAAGGTGTGGGATCCCTCCACGCACACCACAGACTCCGGCTTGTGATCCAGGGACACGGTCTGACCCTCTCTGCGACTACGCCAGTGGTCAAGGAGCTCTGACTCGTTGTTCTGACTGATTAATCTGTTTACTTTTTTGAAACATGTTGCAGGCATCATTTAAATATATTGGAAGAGTTAAGCCGTATGCCAGTGATGGCCAAACGAAGCTTCATGAACCACCAGTTGTATTTGCTGAACCCACTAGATGGCGCTCTTGGTGTAATGAAAAAGGCTCAAGGGATGGCAATGCAGTTTGGTTTCAACCCTTTGAACAAAGAGTGCCAGAGTGGAGCCAAAAAATAAAGGCAGTGTTTCATGAAGCTTCATTTGGACATCACTAGTTGAAACCAAACTGCACTGCCATCTTTTGAGCCTTTTTCATTACACCAAGAGCGCCATCTAGTGGGTTCAGCAAATACAACTGGTGGTTCATGAAGCTTCACTTGGACATCACTACCGTATGCTACATAAACAGGACGGCCTACAGAGAGAAGTGGGAGGATACAGTTGTATGCTGATGCTGTCTGGCTTCTTGATTTTGTCCTGGACTCCCATCTCCTCGAGCCAGGAGAAGCTGCCGTCGTCATCGTTATTGTATTCGTCATTCTCTCCTTCATCACCTGCCTTATAGTCCGCGCCCTCTTTCAGCTCAGAACCACTACGACAGAAAAATTATGATCGCGAATATACAAAACGTTAACACCATCGAAATGATCTTTCCTGTAAATACTGACCAAGGAAATATTGACCCTTATTAACCAAGGGTGGTTTTTGCAGATGACACAAATATTTTATGTTCAGGGGAGGACTTGCAGCAGCTATTATTGGTGGTCAAACGTGAATTGCAAAAAATAAAGTGTTGGTTTGATGTAAACAAATTATCGTTAAACCTGAACAAAACTAAGTTTATGAAATTTGGAAATCGTCAAATTAAGCAAGAAGTACATTTGGAAATTGAAAAAGTTGAAATCGAAAGAGTTTACGAAATTAAGTTTCCTGGTGTTTTAATTGATCATAAGCTCTGCTGGAAACCTCACATCAAATATTTGTGCTCCAAAGTATCCAGAAGCATTGGAATACTGGGTAAAACTAAACACGTTTTAGATCAGAAATCACTTCAAATTCTGTACTATGCACTTATTGATCCATATCTGTCCTATCGTGTTGAGGTATGGGGAAATGCATACAAAAGCACTTTACAAAAGATTTACAAAAAAGAGTCATAAGGATGGTTCATCATGCTGGGTACCTTGATCATACTAATCCTTTGTTTTGAAAATCGGGTATTTTAAAATTCAGGGACCTAGTTAAATTCAAAACTGTTCAAATTTTGTTTAAAGCCTGTAATAAATTGTTACCAAGCAACATTCAAATGATGTTCATGGTCAGAGAGGGAATCATAATTTTAAACATCCTACCATCCATTCGACTCTGAAAAGTATGTGCATCTCTGTCTGTGGTGTAAAACTGTGGAATAAACTAGATGAGGACACAAAAATGTGCATTAACTTAAAACAATTTAAACACAACTACAAACAATCACTCTTGGTCAGCTATAAAGAACTGGACTGCTAATTTTGTCACCAATTGTTCAGAACTTGTGGTTCAAAGTATCAAAATGGCTAACAGAAATAACTGAATTAAATCAGTCTCATACAATACACTAAAATATAAATTTGGAACTCTGATTAATGATTAAATGTTTGATTGATGTTGCTACCGGTAGCAGTACTACCAATTTACTGCAGCACCTCAAACAGAGGCATGCTGCCGAGTGAGAGAGGTGTTGCTCCCTACAAAAATATCCCTACTCAAGTGCTGGAATTTGTTAATTACGTGACGTCTGAACGCAACACAGGCTCCGCTCCATAGACTGTGTGTTCACCTGTGTCTGTCTGTGTGTGCGCAGAAAAGCCAGGGTTTATTCACATACTGAAAGTTGTGGACCCCAGGTACGTGGAATCGATTTAAATCGTGAATCGGATTTGTTGTGAAAAAATCAGATTTTTTTAGGCCATATCGCCCAGCCCTACTGCAAACTAAATACCCCTTCATTCCTTTTGGATGCAGAACTGTTGGTGAGATCCCTCTGTCTGTCGTACCATTTCACACCTTATCTACACAATCTCTTACTCATACAGTGGCGAGTGTAGCAGACAGCGGAGACGACACACTTACTCTTGAACTTTCTCCGGCTCGTCCTCCTCTCCTTGGGGTACTGCCAGACTGTGTTGCTCCCTGCTCTTCCTCCTCTCCTCCACTAGAGGGAGACTGAACTCTATACCTACAGGCACACAAGATGAATGAAGAGTTGGCAATGCTGCAGTCACACTTTTTATCAACCAGTAATAGGCTAAGCAAGTCTTACCTTCAGCCTTCATCGCCTCTCTAAGGCCCCTGGTTGTCGGAGAAATTAAGGCAGTGATGCTGCTCGAGCCGCCAAGACCTGCTGCCCTGAACAGCACTGTAAACTGACAGAACAGAACAGAGCACATCAGATTAAGCGAACTGACTACAAAGGGAAATACTGTAACGTCCTCCACACACAAATAGCTACCTGATAGGAGCAGAGATAAAAGTAAGGACACAGCTTGGCCTTCAGTAGACTGTAGAGAGATGACAGGCTGACTGACCTGCAGAAGACAATCACAGAGAAAATGCTAAAACCATTTCGCAGCAGGTGAGCACTTAATTTGTTTTATATGAAAGCATGGGAGTAGAGATGCTGCGATGGAGAGTTTAGCTTAGTTTGCTGCGAATCTCTGGCCTCACCATTCACTCATGAGACTCTGCTGCAGCGCTCTATCCTGTGCCCATGGGGCGCTCTTCCCAGCGAAGCTCCTCTCAGCGTTGATCCGGGGAAACAGAGAGATCCAAGGCACGGAGGGGTGCTGCCAGTACACCAGACTCTGCTGGAAGGCACAGCGCAGCTCTGAGCAGGACCTGGGATCCTGGAGAGGTGACAGGGAGGATTCTCTGACTAAACATGATACATAGGGATAATCACTGTGATGTTATGAGTGATGATTACACTCAAAAATCTACCTGTAGACTGTGTGGCAGGCTGCCAAACTGAGCTCTGCAGTGCTGACTGAGCCCCGAAGCTTCCTCTTGGGCTTTGGGGTGCTCTGCCCACGACAGGGTGAGCGGGGAGGTGAAGAGGAGGCGGGTTTTCAGGCTCCAGTCTGCTGGATACTCTGTGCAGACTGGGGGGGCTATGGAGGCTGGGGCGATGGCCTGGGGACTCTGGGAAGAGAGAGAGAGGAGAGGAATTTTACTACAAATGTTTGAACTGAGAACAACCGAAATGGTGAGGAGACAGATTTTTTTTGTATCAACGTGCAAAAAGCAGAAAAAGAAATCCAACCTTCAGCAGTGGGCTTTTAACATCTTCCTTCTCCTCTTCAAATAGGGAGTCATCCTCAGAGAAGGTGAGACACTTCTGCAGCAAAGGACAGAAAATGGAAAATATAAAAATGTGTGCCACCCCAAAACCAAATTCCAATGACACATTAGTTTCTTCAAGCAGAAGGTACCTCGCTGGAACTGTCTTGGTGCTCCTGATTTTCTGCCTCAGCCAACTTTGCCCTGAAAGATAAAACTCCTCCACACTCCTCCTCTCCAGTCCACTTCATAGTCTTGTACCCGTGCCCAGCTTCAGCATTCCCGTCGTCGTTATAAATAAGAAGTTTCTTTTTGGGGCTGTAAGTGTTTTCAATGTTCGCGAACGGGTTTCTGCGTTTCACCCCACCTCCAGAGCGGGCCTGGGTGTTAAAAAGCGGCCCCGGGGAGAAAGGCCGAACGCCCGCCGGGGATGAGTCGCTTTGTCCGGGGCTGCAGGAGGAGCCCTGGCCGCTCGGGCTGGAGAAGACACTGGCGTCGCTTCGGGTTCTTTTTCGCCTCATTCGCATTATTTCCGCCGGTCGCTTGAAGCTGGGTGAATACCCTGCCTGCTGAGACATAATTGTTTATCAAAAGTAGCTAAAATTCAACGATAAAATGTTAAAAACACCGGAGTATTGACGCGCTGACGCTGGTGTTTTGTTCCCACTTCCGTACTGTCAAAATTGGCGCGTAGCGTGCTGACGTAAAGCGTATCGAACGTGTTGCGTTTGCGTTACAGAGAAAAAAACGGAAAAAGGGCTACTTTTTTTTTTTTTTTTTTTACAAACTTTATTCAGAACAAAGAATATACAAACAAGACAAGGAGTAAAAACAACAAGGATACAATTGCAAACTTCACAGATGGTGATGACATACAAAATTCTTCAAAAAAATATCAAACAATATGTTTCGGCACAGGAACAAAAGACAATAATTCAAGTTTACTAAATAAAACAAAAGGGAATAATGAACAACAGAGCGAGGACTTATAATCGAGCTATAATCATTTTTTTTTAGCTTTATTTGTTAACTTTTTCAACCTTTTTCATTCCATTTACAAGAGTGTATACATATTAAAAAATAATCACAAGATTAATAATATCAGAAAAATCAGCGTCCAAGTTGTCCATATAATAAATTATGTCATTTAAAGTAAACGAAGGTATGTTATCGATTTTCAGGGACAACCAGTTGTGAATTTCAGACCAAAATAAATTGACAAAGGGACAACTGAAAAATAGATGGTCTACAGATTCAATTGAACAAAGGATACAAGGATCAAACCGGAATCTTTTGTGTAGAAAATAACAGGGTATATTGCTGTTATAATCTTAAAGTGAGTTTCCTTTACTTCCGGAGCAACAGGAAGTGAACGATAAAAAGAAAAAGATTTTAGATAGATAGACCAAACTAACTGATTTCTTGTCAAATTTTCTATCCATTAAATTAACCCCACCGACTTTAAGAGAAGGCAACAAAGGTGAAATCGTAGAAAACTGCATGCAGCTCTGTATCAAACGAAGGGACGGGAAAGGGGCCACTAAGAGCGCCATCTAGTGGGTTCAGCAAATACAACTAGTGCTCTTCATTTTGACATCACTACATGGGGGCCTACGACACAAATGAGCAGAATAAATGCAAGGATGTGAAGGTTAAACAACTTTTAATTACTTTTAATTTCACAGCTCACAGTAAAATAGAAATAATATTTTTAAGAAAACATACAAAATGAACTATAAAGTTTGAACTGAATGTTAAAACTGACCTGTTTATCCTTAAAAGGTGAAACAGGATCTGTTGGTGTGTCTCAAATCACATACTTCTGTTAGCACACTTCCATGCAGTATACTATGTGCACTATGTACTTATTGGCGTAGTGCGCAAATTTCGACAGGGTAGTGTTGTCTCAAACCAAACACGACCGTTGTGCACTCACCGGAAATGATGACTGCAAATTAGCTAGTTAGCAAACTAGCATTAGCATTCGCGTTATCGTTCACGGTACCAAATCATTACAGACTGCTACATTAACCCAATAAACATACTGCTAGCTTATACCCGACAACAGTATAGTAGTGCTTAGTGCAAAACACATGTATTTGTACAGTCGCGGAGTCCATTTCCAGTTTGAAAAGTGGCCCCTCCCCTTCCGCTTCGTAGCCAAGATGGCGACCATTGAGGGCGAGAAGTGTCCATAGTTCCACACTCAACCTATCACGGATATAGTGCACTATATAGTGTGTTCGCCATTTTGTAGTGTTGTTCGAATTCTCCGCGGTTAATTTCATTCACTATATAGTGGACTATAAAATACCCACAATGCACAGCAAATGTGAGTGAACAAACGATGTACCCTACATTTTACTCCCGTATACCACAATGTAATGCGGTCGTCTTTTGCCAGAGGAGAAGAAGAACAACCGCAAAGATGGCACAAAAAGAAAAGAAACGAATAGGATGCTAGCCGGTAACGTTAGCTCACGAGCTAACAATAGCCACTTAGCTCGCACGAGCCAGGTAGCTTGTAGCTCGTGCACTATCGTGGGCTATTACAGCTCACAATGCAGACACACAACCGTAGCTGACAAAACCAAACGTCCACACCATTGACATTTCAGCAATTTATTGACAAAAAGTACAACCACCATCCAGTTCGATCATCCTCAAAACGCCTGGTTTGTTTACATGAAGCTCGGCGCATCCACTTGCGTCACAGGAGTATGCAGCGCAGCTACTGACGCAACGACGTTCAGAAAATTTCAGTTAGTGTCCGAAATCTCGTTCAGTCGTTCCCCATGTAGTGCACTATATAGTAAACACGACATAGGGAATAGTGAGTGAGTGAGTGAGTGAGTGGACGGTTTCGAACACAGCTCTTGACTGTTTTGAGCGCACCATCCAGGTACTCATAGTGCACTGCATTTTTCCATACTTCTCAGTGTGAACGCACTTATGCACTCACAATATTAAGCATAAGTACAGAAGTACGCGATTTGAGACACAGCATCCGTGTAGAACTGTTTGTGCATATACATAAATTTTCTGGAAATGTAGATTCATCCATTCCAAAAACAGATGTTTGTCATTTGTTAGACGAAACCGGCGGTGTCTTACCCTTTGAGGAATTCAGCGCCAAATTCGATCTCCAATGCAACAGTAAACAATATGATAAAGTAATTTAAAGTATCCAAACTGCTTCTTTTTTTTTCAATTAAATACACTCCCCTATGTGGTCGCCCCTTCTCACCTCCCTTCATTGATTATCGAGGGACAGGATTTCTCAAGTGTGACTCTGTTGAATAAAGTGACCCCCTGGCTGCAACGATTAGTCGACTAATCGATGACTAATCGACTATTAAAGTAATTGGTGACTATTTTCGTAGGCGACTAATTGGTTTGAGTCATTTCTCATAGAAAAGTACTATAAAAATACCCCAAAATACTCTTATTGCAGCTTCTTAGGTTCAAATATTGGCAGCTTTACACACTCTCCCATGACGGTGAACTAGAATGTGAGTAGCGTGAGTACGAAACAAGACATTAGATGACATCATTTTGGGGTTTTGGAGAGACAGACCGACATTTTTCAACATTTTAACACATTTTTCCATAAAATGATTCGTCGACTAATCGAAGAAATAATCGACAGATTAGTCGACAATGAAAATAATCGTTAGTTGCAGCCGTATTTGGGATGCAGTACGAAAACAAGAAGACCAAATCTGCACAGAACATATTCTCTTATTGTTTGTTATTACAGCGTAGTTGGCTGTTAGCTCAGGTGTTGCATGTATGTTTGTCCTTGATTTACCTGTCCTGCATCTTCTGCCCGAGGGCAGCAGCTCAAACAAATGCTGGGTGTCCATCAGAATGTTTTGGGCTTATTTGAGGAGTAAGGAATAAATGCAACAAATACAAACACAGTGATAATAATAATAGCTGGGGGAGTTGGGGGAAGGTTTGCCTGGGGCGCTGAATGTGTTGCATCATATCCTTTCTGACCATATGTTTTATGTATTAAATCTTACACTGAAAAGCAGCTCCAGCTGTCAGTCAAATGCAGTACAAAGTTTTTAAAAAGTTTTTATAAAGTACTTTATTTCCCTCTGTCTGAAATACCTAAGATCACAACGCTCCCTTTCCCCCCACTTCAAATAAACTTCACATCATGTGAGCGCCTCGGGTGCTGCTCTTACTCTGAAAACGTCAAACAGGAAGCCACATCTTACTGTGGAAAAAAAAAAATAGTTATGAAGAGAACAAAGCTGCAGCTGTTGCTGGCTCCTCCTCTTCCTCCACCCCCTCCTCCTCCCCCTGTAGTAACTATAAAAATGTCTGTGACACACACTGATAGCACTTCACTCACAGAGATCTCATTATAGGCGCCCTGTGAGAGCCTGCAAGTTTGAACCTCTTCTCCTAAAAGGACAATCAGAGCAGCACAATGGTGAGTATGGCAGCATAATTATTACTAGTGTATTCCATAGAAAGTGACATGCAGTGTGTTACATAAGAACTATGAGTGCTATCTGAAGTGTTCCTCCTTTGAGAATCACAGTGTTCCTGTTGCATCTGCATACTTTCCCTCCAAAATCTATCACCAGCCTGAGCTTGTGTCTTTTGCTTCTACTTAAATGCCCCCAGGCTGCTACTAAAACAACTTCCTGGCTTTGCTACAGCACTTAAAACTCATTTAATTGTTAGAAAGTGAAGAACATAAAGTAAAATCAGTGGAGACACAGTACCAGGCATGTGGCTCCAGCTCTAGTAAAGGTTAACTGTTTCCATATGTGTGTCTGTCAGGAGGGCGTGCTTGTTTGCCCGGCTGGTTTTGGGAATGCTGATGTGGCTTCCAGAGGCCCCTTGTGTGTTTTACATTTCTATTCCTGACGGCTATGAGCTCAGGCGCATGACGATAAACCCTCGTAGCTGTGGATCAACATTTTTACAAGAGCTAAAGAGTCTTAAGTCGTCGACATGATTTCAGGACGTTGACCTTCCCCTTTTCACTTTATTCCCGTCATCAGAGCAAACAGTGAGAGTGTCGTAACAGGTCGTTTGGAAAGTCAGAACAGAGGAAAAGTAGTTTGGTAAAGCGTTGACGACGAGAAAAGACTGTTTCCCCCTGTTGGTTTTAGGTCTGCTGACACTTCCTGTTGGGCCATTTGTGATACAGCAAGAAAGAAGAGGAGGTGTGGGCAGTCACGCTGCCATCAGAGTCGCTACATTTATCCCTCCAGCTCCCTTTCAGCTGGGATAAATTTAAAATCACACATTTTTTGGGGTTACTCCACCACAGGCTTACAACACAATGCTCCACTGTGTTTGCTCTCCCATGCTGAGGCCTTAATGTCAGCCGTGACGTAGTTTGAGGACAAGATACAGGAAGCAGATAGTCACCCAGATGCCAGGAAGTGGAACTTTCACAAGCTGCGTGTGTCTTGAAGGCATGAACCAGTGTGGCATGTTGCAACACCAACACCACTCCCACTTTTTCTCATATCCTGTCGAAGCTCTTTGGGCTACAAAACGGCACCAAGTTCTGTCTGCATATATTTGTGCTTTGTTTTCTTGCTCCAACAATAGGAGCGCTCGGCACTGACAGCGTGTTATTTCCATGAGATAAGCTGCAGTCCAAACAGGTTAGTAGGGTAGATGTCTGAGTGAAGCGTCACTCAAAATAGCTGTGTGCTGAGCTGGCTGCCATCGCCATACTTGGCAGCTCCCGTATCACCATGCCCCCTCCCCTCCTCCGCCCTTATCACAGGCTGGTTTAGGGGGGAGGGGGGAGGTCAAAGGATCAAAATTCAAAACAAAAGCCCACTACAGAAAGATTAGTGTCAACTTTAATGCATTGTATTCAGCCCTCTAAATCACACGCTGTTGCTGGGATGCTTGAGAAAGCAGATGAAACCACATTGGCTTGCAAGGACGCAGGATGAGGAGTAGCTTGGTCCACGGAAGACACTGCACGTCTCCAGATGTGGAATGTAGAATACATTAAACAGCAACAGTCTGCAGCACGTTCTCCCCCAGTTTTAAGCTCGTCTGAAAGCGAGGGGCTTCATAATCGCACTGCAGCGCCACGTCAAAGTGCAAACAAAACTACGGGCTACAGTGTGACCAGAAAGAGAGCTGAGTCCTAAGAGAACAAGATGTGCAAATTCGCCATGTGCAAGGTAGTTCCTTGTTCCATTTGCAGCATTAGTTCTTTGAGTATCTCTTTAAGATTAAAGCAAAATTGGTGGAACAGAAATATCCTAATTGATTTTACATCAAATTGAATAAGAGTCGAATCGATTCAGGAAATCACAGGCGACACCTAGCCCTGGTTTACATGCACAAAATATTCCATTTTTGCCCCCTTACTGTTCACGTGCAGCCGTGCATATGCCGATTGAAGTGCCCTGAAATCACGTGAAAATACTGTAAAAAAAACTTAACTGTTCAGGCTGCCTTCAAATTTTAAGTTGACTCGATTTGAGAAAACAAGTATTATATCACTCATGCCTTCTCAAATTCAGCCAACTTAAAAATTTAAGGCAACCCTGTGCACTTGTTTCGTCTTGTTTTGTCCACAACCCAAAGAAATTAAGTTTACTGTCATTTAGACGTAAAGAAACCAGGAAATATTTGCATTTGAGAAGCTGGAATCAGAAAGTTTTGACTCAAACTGATGAAGCAATTATCAAATTAGCTGGCAATTGAGTTCATATTTGAAACAGATCTACATTTGGCTCACTATTTAAACCATATATCTTACATTTAGCGAATTAGTTTCATCGGGTAACACCAGTTTGTGTGGTTCAAATTGTTGAGACATCAGTTTCCTGAGGAATGTGCCTAAGCTGAAAGAAACTAGGTCACCCCACTTTATCAAAATCGCATGTCACTCACATTAACAATATGCCTGAGAGGCAGTTTCATCATCTTTAAGTAAAACACTTAACAGACTGAATTGACAGATCCTCACTGGGAGCTGTTTGCGTTGCTATCAAGACGTCGCACTGGAAAAACATGACAAGCTGTCCCGTCCTGTCAGACTGACTCCTCAGGAATCTCACAACAACATGAATATTTTACTGGCCCACGTGTTCCCGTTGGGAATAGGGTCAGAGGTCAGCTGCAGCCTCTTTTAGCGCCTTGTAAAGGTGGAATTATTTATTACATACATATAACAGGGGTTGTTTGTGTTCTCGTGTTCCCGCTGACAGCTGGCCTTCTGTTGACAGACAAACTGCCGCAATAGTGGTGAGACAAAGCAGCAGAAATCCATCTGATGCATTGATGTCACAATTTTTAAAGCAACGTTTTTTGCGCACTGCTCCCTGTCATTTGCGCTCTAAAGGGTCAGTTAACTAAACAGGAAAGATGACGTTGTATCCTAAACTCCCTCGGGACAAATTTACTCTCTAATGATGAGACCAAACTTGTTCCAGTCCCCTGCAAGCATGCACCCAATGCCTCCACCCGCGACCCCCCCCACCCACATCCTTTACAAGGATCTAGAAATACCTCAGGAGGGTGTGGAAGCACTTTGGCCCCTACAGATACTCTGACAAGAGTATGTTAATCGCCGCTGACCCCTTATTTAGATCGGTGACGTGTCACATCCGACTCGCGTGATAATGTGAAAACCTGAGAGGTTTCTGCAAAGTCCACACAAAAATCTGGCTGGGGCAATAATGTGGAAATAATTTTAAAGAGAAAAAGAGGCTGAAAAGTTCACAACCCTGTCCGTTTCCCCCACCCTCGTGCTCAACTGTCATTTCCAGCAGGTCAAGACAGGTTTAAAGGCAGCAATGTTTGCATTAAACTACCCAGGGCAAAGGGTTGGCTTAAATGAATTCGGGGATACATTTTGTAGCTGGATGGCATTCAACATCCCTACACCGCTTTGGTGTCCCCAAACTGGGTGAGGTCCTCAAAGTCCGAATATGCCGTTTCATCAAGGTCTTCTTGAATCGCTCTTAGTCTGGCCCCTCCCCTTGGGACCACTATGCCTTGGAGGCCCTATCAAGGGCTATTAGCCCTGGACAACACAGCTCCCAGGTTCACAGGGACACGAAAACCCCTCTACCACGTTAAGGTGGCGGTTCTCGGAGGAGCCGCTCCTCCTTAGCGTCGAAAGGGGTCAGTTGAGGTGGTTCGGACATTTGATCAGGATGGGCACCTCCTGTTAGAGGTGTTCCGGGCAAGTCAGGAGGCCCCGGGGCAGACCCAGCCTTGGAGTCCCCCAGGAGGAGCTAGAAAGTGTTTCTGGGGAGAAGGATGTCTGGGGTACTTTGCTTGGCCTGCTGCCCCTGCAACTCGGCCCTGGATAAGTGGATGAAAATGGATGGATGGATATTTATTTCATTTATGTTATTCTTTCAAAATGTTTTTTTCTTTCGGTAGTACATGATTTGCCCCAGTTCTCAAGAATGGGTGTTGAGTATGTCTGAATTTAAATGGGGTTTGGTTTACATGATGACTTCAGCGATAAATTTCCCAAAATCATGTTGAATTCAAACAGTTAAATGAAATCTTTTCCTTTCTCCTCCACAGCGTGAGTGTATCTCTATCCACGTCGGCCAGGCTGGGGTCCAGATGGGCAACACCTGCTGGGAGCTGTACTGTCTGGAGCACGGCATCCAGCCTGATGGCCACATGCCCACCGACAAGCCCTCCACGGGCTACGACGACTCCTTCACCACCTTCTTCAGTGAGACCGGCACGGGGAAGTATGTCCCCAGGGCCATCTTTGTCGACCTGGAGCCCACTGTGATTGGTGAGGAGTTTCATCCAACCTTCTGTTTCACATTCTTTTACCTGGGAGCTCGTGTTTGGGAGATAAGGGTGTTGCTCGAGTAAGATAAAAACTTGAGATTTTAGGAGAGAAGGAAGCTAGAGACAATAAAGCTATAAACTAGCTGATCACATATTAACTAGTTGGCTAGACAGTGGGCCATTCATATGAGTTTATATTTTGACCAAAGTTCATTTTAACCAATTAAAGTATTATGGTCAGTCGTTTTTTGGCCACGCCCACTCCCGTTTGAATCAGCCAATCAGATCTCAAAAGCTCACTTTTCACTCCAAGTTTGGAAACAACAAAGTATGTTCTTATTTTCAAATGTGTAGTCCAACAACATTCAAACTATTCGCCAAATTCTATTGGGCAAAAAAACGCCGGACTTTCACCCGAGAGACAGCTGTTCATTTCCCATGTGAAACCAAAACTCAGTGACGTTACATTAATAAGAACGGTAGGCCTATTTTTTTTAAACCAAACCATGATGATGACTTTTGTTGCCTAAAATTCATGTTGTGTTCACACCAAACGTGATGCAAATTTTCACGTTGGTAGAATATTTTTTTGACTTGCCTCATAAGTGTGACTAAAGGCCTTTACAAGCAGTTTTTTTCTGGATGCATTTTTTTAATCTGTCACGTGAAAAAATATTGTTAGGCACAGAAACATTGCACACTGATTATGATGTGTTTTATTGTTGTATTTGTTGTGAAAATTCACAACATGTGCCAAAATAAAACGCACGGGCTCAGTGTGCAAACGTGATTGACACAATGTTAGGTCAGATTTATTTTTGGATATGTGACAATTTTTGACAAATAAATGTACTCCGTGCGCAAAGGCCTTAACTCGCGTCAAATGCGCGTGAAATTGCTGAATCGATGAATGACCTTCCACTGACACGTCCATGCCATCATATGTCCCCAGAGGATCTCAGTGCTGATTGGCTATCATGGCGTAAATTGGTTGCTGAAGTTTATATTTTTCAACTCTCATGAATAAACATATGACACAAAATGGCGCTACTAGCTTCGTTCGTGTTGCTTAATTTGTGTATTTTGCGTATTTCGCATTGTGTCCAATGCGCCACCTGGTGGGAATTCATGTCTAATAGCGTCTTTACTTTAATTGGAACTTAATGTCGTGGGTTGCTTTGGATAAAAAATTCAATTCAAATTTTTATCTATATCCCCAAACCAAACGTTTGTCTCATGGCGCACCCTCAGTGTGGATAAAAGTACAGTATTAACATGCTATCAAACTGTCTCTTCTCTCCCCTCCAGATGAGGTTCGTACAGGCACCTACAGACAGCTTTTCCACCCCGAGCAGCTGATCTCAGGGAAGGAGGATGCTGCCAACAACTACGCCCGGGGTCACTACACCGTCGGAAAGGAGCACATTGACTCTGTGCTCGACAGAATCCGCAAACTGGTAAGAAAAGGGTTAAAATTTAAGCATGTTTGTTTTGTAAGTCATTATTGATAAGAGGTTGGGCTTGACCTATGTAGCCTACAGCCCTGTCGTGGAGAGTTGTTTTGCCTCCAGCTAATGAAATGACATCATCAGTAACATCAGCCCTAAAAGGGTCTATATATCCTCCTGAATCCTACACACTGGACCTTTAATATAACCCTATCACAAGTATCTTCTTTAGTCTGTTTCAAAACTTCTTTAACAGTAAATTCTTTCTTTCTCGTCCAGTCTGACCAGTGCACCGGGCTGCAAGGTTTCCTGGTCTTCCACTCCTTCGGTGGAGGAACCGGCTCTGGCTTCACCTCCCTCCTGATGGAGCGCCTCTCAGTCGACTTTGGCAAGAAGTCCAAGCTGGAGTTTGCCATCTACCCTGCTCCTCAGGTGTCCACAGCCGTGGTGGAGCCCTACAACTCCATCCTGACCACACACACCACCCTGGAGCACTCCGACTGCGCCTTCATGGTGGACAACGAGGCCATCTACGACATCTGCCGCAGGAACCTGGACATTGAGCGCCCGTCATACACCAACCTCAATCGTCTCATCAGCCAGATCGTCTCCTCCATCACCGCCTCTTTGAGATTCGACGGCGCCTTGAACGTGGACCTGACGGAGTTCCAGACCAACTTGGTGCCCTACCCTCGCATCCACTTCCCTCTGGCCACCTACGCCCCCGTCATCTCAGCAGAGAAGGCCTACCACGAGCAGCTCACTGTGGCTGAAATCACCAACTCCTGCTTTGAGCCAGCCAATCAGATGGTGAAATGTGACCCCCGCCATGGTAAATACATGGCCTGCTGCCTGCTGTACCGTGGAGACGTGGTGCCCAAAGACGTCAACGTCGCCATCAGCAACATCAAAACCAAGCGCTCCATCCAGTTTGTGGACTGGTGTCCCACTGGCTTCAAGGTGGGCATCAACTACCAGCCACCCACTGTTGTCCCCGGAGGAGACCTGGCTAAGGTGCAGAGGGCCGTGTGCATGCTGAGCAACACCACCGCCATCGCAGAGGCCTGGGCTCGTCTCGACCACAAGTTTGATCTCATGTACGCCAAGAGGGCCTTCGTCCACTGGTATGTCGGAGAGGGCATGGAGGAGGGAGAGTTCTCAGAGGCCAGAGAGGACATGGCCGCTCTGGAGAAGGATTACGAAGAGGTTGGCATTGACTCATTTGAAGAAGATGAAGAGGGGGAGGAGTATTAAATAAGAAGAATAATGTTAAAACTAGAGCCGTTTTAAAGGAAAGGGTAAAGTTCGATCAGTATTCAACATGTTAAATCTCCTCCAGAGGCAGTCTGAGTGTTAACGTGCCGTTTAACGACCTCTGATGAACACTAACGTTACTGCCGAGCAGCAGTTTATCCGAGCTCAATCTCATGGTGTTTGGTATATTGAATAATGACTCTCCAGTTAGAGAGGTGCCTTTATCTCCTTTTCTAAATAAAGCTGTTTACACAAAGTTCTCTTGACTTCTAAGAGTAATTGTTTCTTTATTTGATGTTTGGAAACAGAATCAGAATACAGAAAAAAAGGTGAGTAACTAATACTAATGATCATTTTGGGGGTGAAGTTTTCCCTGAATACATTTGGGTGAGATGTGGGTGTTCGACCACTAGATGGCAGTGTGGTGCTACTGTGAGAGAAAGCTCATTCCATCCACACTGAAGGGAAGAAGACATGGACTGAGAAATCTTGAGGCCACCAGCTTGGCCCTGAGGTGGAAGGCATGCACGAGGATGCATGTCATATCTCAAAGTGGAAATGTCTGGAACTCTCTTAAATATCACCCACTTTTGTTGCTATGAATATGAATGTAAATGTCCTGAAATCTCATTAAAAAATGACCAATTTTGTCACTCCAAACACGACAAGAAATGCTCAGTTTGGTCGCCAGAAACATGTCTCATAAAAAACGTTGAGTAATGCCCAGAAAAGTGTTTTATGCAGAACATTATGATGTCACAGCTAAATTGACCTTTGACTTTTTGGATATAATATGTCATCACTTCATCATCTTATTCTGTTAAATATTTGCGTGAAATTTTGTCATAATTAGCGTAAGAATTCTTCAAACCACGACGTTTCAAGGACCTGTCAATAAAAAAAAACTTTCTTGCCCAATTTATCCGTTTTTATTACTTCCATGACTTTTCCAGGCCTGGAAAATGTCTTTGTGAAAGTCCATTACTTTTCGGTTTTTCAAGACCATGGGAACCTTGGTGTTCACAAGAATGAGACAGACCTTGACCTTTGACCACCAAATCTAATGTTCGTCATTGATTCCAAGTGAAACTTTGTGCCAAATGTAAAGAAATTCCCTCAAGGTGTTTTTGAGACAGTGTGCTCATGAGAATGACACGGACGGGCAACCCGAAAACATACTGCCTCGTGTCTTGTGTTGCCCATAACAGGTGTGGTGTGTATGTCCAGAGGCCTCCTGAAGCCTAACTACAACTTATCTGGGTGGATACACCCCCTGGTGTCGGAAGTGAGCAACTGCACCTTCAAAAAGCCACTTCAAAACCACTGTAAAACATGTTCACGTGGCCTCTTTCTCAAATTAACACATAAAACAACTTAACAGGTGTGACCACACATTTGTAAGTGTCAGAAAAACAAACAAAACATGCACAAGTTTCTTTGAGTATGAAGCATTAATGGACCACAAATTTCTGGGATTCTTGAAAGAGTGAAACAAAAACTGTCACCTGTTCCTTTAGAATGAAGTACACTCTTTGGGTACAGAGTAATCTGCATTGGGAAGAGGCTGAGGATAGTTCCTCTTCATCATAGTACAGACTGTATACAGTAGTGTAGAGCTACAGGTAACCTGCACACAAAATCAACATGTTAAGGGCTCCATCTAGTGGCTATAAGCTGCATTACCGTTTTAGAAGGGCTCATTACAGAGCAGCACAATGGTGAGTATGAAGGCATAATTACTATTATTACTAGTGTATTCTATAGAAAAAGACAAGCAGTATTTTACATAAGAACTATGAGTGCTATCTGAAGTGCTCCTCCTTTGAGAATCACAGTGTGCCTGTTACATCTGCATACTTTCCCTCCAAAATCTATCACCAGCCTGAGCTTTTGTCTATTGTTTCTACTTTAATGCCCCCAGGCTGCTACTAAAACAACTTCCTGGCTTTGCTACAGCACATAAAACTCATTTGAATGTTAGAAATGGTGAAGAACATAAAATAAATCAGTGGAAACACGGTACCAGGGATGTGGCGCCAGCTCCAGAAAAGGTTAATTGTTTCCATGTGTGTCCAGGTTCACTTTGCTCTTCGACATTGTGTTTAACCGCTTGAAAATTGTCTTGATTTGTTTTAAAAACATGGGAAGAAAACAGCGTGCAATAAAAGATGAAATGACCCCTCCAAAAAATTTGCAAGAAATTAGTGAAAAGAGAAAATTAAAAGCAAGAAAATCTGAAAAAAAAGAAAATTAGTAGAAAAAAAAAGTTAAAAACTAACAAACAAGAAAATGGCCTTAAAAATTCTAATAATTATGCAACATCATTTTAAAATGTAATAATAATAATATAGTTTTTCACCAATGTTTATCTTTTTTAATTTAATTTGATTTAATTTAATTTAATTAAAAATTTTTTTAATTTTATTTGTGGGCTCATTGCCTTTTTTCCACGTTTTTTTTTTCTTCAGAATTTTCTAAATCAATTTCTTTTCTTTCTTTTTTTTTTTGCAATTTTTGGGACTTTTTTTTTTTTTTATTTTATTTTTTTACCAAGTTGCTCATTGCCTTTTTCTCCATGCTCAGGGTTCAAAGGTTAAAATTCTTGCGAAAGGCGCCTGAAAGCAACACAGAAAAAGTGATGTCGCTCCAGCTTTCAAAGGGTTAACCCTCTAGCTAACATGCTGTTACATTTGGGTGAGATGTGGGTGTTCCACCACTAGATGGCAGTGTGGTGTTACTGTGAGAGAGAGCTCATTACATCCACACTGAAGGGACGATAACAGAAAAGAAGACATGAATGGAGAAATCTCGAGGCCACCAGCTTGGCCCTGAGGTAGATGACATCCTCAAGTGTTAGAAACACACACACACACAGACACAGACACACTCACATACATGCACTATCTGGCCAAAAACATGTGAACAACTCTGACCAAATAAATGATAAAATATGCATGTTTTTGACTGTCTTTCTGCAAAGCTCCAGTTCAATGTGCAGCTAAAACCTGTGTTTTGCACTGACTAATTGCTGTGGATGCTCTGAGGCAAAGCTGGTTTGAAACTAATGCAGATTTCTCTTGCTGCAGTACAAAATATTGCTCCAGTACAAAATGTACAAAAACATCCTATAACGATTTTCTGTGCAGAACCACCAGAGACAGACTTATTTCCCGCTTCAGGTCTTAACTCATAGTTTCTAAAGTTTACCGCTGGACTTTTTCCTCCCCTTCCTCAGCGGATGCGGCCTTCATATTGGCTCTGTAATTGCTTTGATGTAATTAAGGCTCAATTTGAGCACAGTCTAGGCGGCATGGACAGGGGATTTATAAAGGTCACGAAGGACAGAGAGAAAGATAAATGTTTCTTGTCGGCTATTTCATGACGTTTTCTGCTCAGATTGGGTTGAAAAAGAACATGATGGTGAGGCGGTTTCACACTGCTCACAGGATGACATGCTGCGAGGCAAAAACAGCAGCTACTCAGTACGACAAAGGGAGAATAAAGGCTATCAATGAATAGCGTTAGCAGGGTCACAACAGGTGGTTTTTACAGGTAGATCTGGCAGAAAAGGCTCTATTATTTGAGTGGATTGTGCTGGATGAAAAAAACCCTTTGACAATACCAAAAATTTAATGCATAAGGTGGAGCTTTGGGTGCAACAAACAGCCTTTGCATGATGATATTAGCACTTGTAGTCAGAACTTGTAGGTTACAAAAGCTGCCGTGCACATCTGCATCAGCACAGTGTCCCTACCCCATTACTACATCTAGGCCAGTAGTATACTGTATTTTTGGAGTTGGTGTACAAGAAACAGTTGCAAACCCATCACCAGAATAAATGTTGGCCTTTCTGCTAACAAGGACAATGCCGTGGTTAACTTGTGGTTAGGTTAAGGCACAGACACCACTTGGTGTTAGGAAAACATAAGGTTTTGGCTTAAAAATCCAGGTTTGGTTGCCATAAATACAGCTGGAAATGCACTGAAGTGTTGGTAAAAATCCCTGCTTTTGTTGCTACAAATACGACCAGAAATGTCCCAAACTCTAGTTAAAAAAAGCCCAGTTTGGTCACTACAAACACAGCTGGAAATGCACTGATGTGTTGTTAAAAATACCCGCATGTGGTGCCATAAACACGACTGGAAATGTCCCAAACTGTCGTAAAAAAATCGATGCTTTTGTTGCTACAAATACGACCAGAAATGTCCCAAACTCTTGATAAAAAATGCCCAGTTTGGTCACTACAAACACAGCTGGAAATGCACTGATGTGTTGTTAAAAATACCCGCATTTGGTGCCATAAACACGACTGGAAATGTCCCAAACTGTCATAAAAAATCCCTGCTTTTGTTGCTACAAATATGACCAGAAATGTCCCGAACTCTTGTTAAAAATGCCCAGTTTGGTCACTACAAACATGATAGAAAATGTCCCGAACCCTATTAAAAAAAAATAAACGCTCGTTGCTCCAAACACAGCTGTAAATGTCCCAAACTCTGATTAAAAACGATTCACTTTTTTCGGCACAAATACGGCTGGACATGTTCTGAACTCTTGTTAAAAAATACTCACTTCTGTTGCTACAAACATTGCCAGAAGCCTGCTAAACTCTTGTTAAGATATCTGCTTTATGTCCCTTGCATTAAAAGAAATATACACTTTTGCCATTATAAACATGGCTGGAAATTGTCCTTAGAAAATGCCCAGTTTGGTCACAAGAAACACCTGAAAATGTCCCAAATACTCATTAAAATTTATGCGTTTATCGCCACTAACACGGCTGGAAATGTCCTGGCTTCTTGTTAAAAAAATACCTGCTTGGATTGCAACAAACACAGCAGGATATGCCATTGTCACTTTTCAGCATAAGGACACAATGAATGCTTAATGAGTCTAAACTGGTGAGAAAAGGGCCACTCAGGAAAAAGAGAGGTTTCATATCTGGTGGAGAACTGAAGGAGGGTGGTGAGCATGCACGGTGGTTGGGACACTAACGAGCGGATTGGGAGCAGGTGAGGGAGTCAGGTGATGACGGGAGATGGGAAACACCTGCAGGACAGGAGGGGAGGGGCAAACTGATAATGTGAACACTAAATTAAGTCATATATGTGTCTATAGTGTATTTGGAAGAAATTTAACTGTGTGATACTGTGGTTCCAATCAAGATTGTTTTTCAGCTTGTTTAAACTGCCTTATTATTGTATTAAATTACTTTTATAAGGCTATTTTTAAGATTTGTTGATCACTGATTTATACACTGCGGTTTCCTGAAAATAGATCTCCATCTCAGTGATTAAATAAAGGTTTGTATAAGAATTTAGAGTAAGATATATAAGATTTTTTTTCATCACAAGGAGCAACTCTCAGCACTAGGAAGTGGGAAACTTAAGTAAAGGATATAAGTATCTAATCACATAAATGTCCATAACAATCCAGGATTCTGTTCCTAAAAACGTCCAAAATAAGACTCATAAAAGGCTTCGTGGCTCATTCACTGTTCTTTAATATCAAAACAGCCAATAAATACAGAAAGCTTTTCTTTAATCCCCCCTCACCCACAAGGTTTCCCCCCAGAAAAACAAAAAAAAATCTAGTCAAACTCACAGAACAAACCCCAAAAGAAACAATAACCATAACTTCACAGACTGCTTCTATAAATTGGCCTCAATGGTGGCGTCACATGTTACAGAGCACAGGCAGTGGGACGCTTCAGCGGGTGGGTTTCTTTGCGGCTCAGCAGACACACGCCTTTGAAGACGCTGCATCAGCAGCCCGAGAGTATCCGAGGCTACCCAACACGTTGGCATGGCAACCGATAGCTGTGCGTTCGGGGATTATCATAATCTGAGATGGACAGTTTTTCTTTTCATGTGTTATTTATGGTTTAAAAATTAAAGTCGAGACACTGAGCACGTGTGAGCTCCTCTGAAAGCATCAGGCCTCTTATCGCTGAGATTAATGGCCGATAGTTAATTGTCTGCAAATATGAGGGACATTTTTTATGATGCCTGTTTTTGCACTGCTTCCTGGGTAACACGATAACCTGGGAGTGTTTCCAAACAAAACTCTGAGTTGGTGGAAATTAGGAACTATTAAAAAACTGAGAATATTTCTGACTGGTTGCTCATGTCGGTCTATAGGTTAATTTAGCTTCACACATTCTCGCTCCGACCTCGTCACATATTGACGTTCAGTCATGGATTTTCCAGTTTCAGATATGACGTAAAACGTACCGTGGGTGTGTTGAATGTTGTCTTCCTGGGACGCCGTGTCAACTTCAGCCCGTTACATGCATTGTCTTCTTTCAAAATACACCTCTGTTTTCACAGGTGATGTACAGTTTGCATTCAGTCTCTTTCAAAATAAAAGCGTCGGTACAACACTGAGAATGGAATATTTTTTGCCTTCAATAACTAACGCATGTGGTTGGGTTTAGGCAACAAAAGCAAGTGGTTAGGTTTGGGAAAAAAGAACAGGGTTTGGCTTTATAATCTTATAGGACACGAACAGCGCTCTCCTGGGTGAAAGTTAGGGTTTGTTGGACCCATCCACCAGCCCTACTCGGACTTTTGTTGCCTTTACTTGCATTCATGTCCTGCAGTGTTTCCCCGACATAGGGGATGCTGCAAGTCACTGCCCAAGCGCTGTATTTCGATGACTTCGGAGTGTGACCAGGTCTGGAAGCACGCCGAGTTTTGCAGCCAATTGTCAGAGTGGCCAAACAGTGGAATGGTTGGAGGTAGCTAGCTTGCAGCGACGCTCATTCAGCCATAGCTACCTCCCGACCACGGTCGTGGTCAGTGCAGAACAGCCAAAAGACCAGAGGAGCTCTAGACTAAAAGAAAAAACCTCTCGTATTTCACGTCTTTTTTTTTTTTTTCTTGAAAATTAACCGGTTAGTAATTGGTTAATGGCCTTTCAAAAGCAAAAATAACTGAGACTGACATCCCTGGTGGAAATGCACAAGTGAGGAGCAATGGCACTAATTCATCAAGACACATTTTTTATTCATAAATTAGGACATGAGTTTCAAATCAAGTCTACAAAACCAAAATAATATTAATACTTTTTTTTTTTTTCCAGCGAAGGACAGAAACATTTTGGCGTCCAGTAGAAAATATAAAACCATAGAAAATTAAACTGTGAATAATACCAGGCAACTATTATAACATGAAATGGCATTTGCACGAGATATGAGTACATTACAGCAGAATGCGAACTCCAGGTGTCAAAGCTGTACAAAAATCGTCATTTAAAAAAAAAAAGAAAAATAATCGGCTGCAGATTTGTTTTACGAATAAGGTACAAACATATTCATCAACAATGTCATTAAGCTACTGCAGATCGATAGTGACCATTTTGCGCTATGGGACAACAAAAATCAATTGCCCCTTTAAGCTTAACCTTGAGAAAAAAAGTTGGTGTGAAATGTTAAAAAAATAAAAGAATAAATAAATCTCAGCTAATACTGACAAGGAGACAGTGTAATAAATACTGCACGTGTTTAACTCTATTGCTGCCTAATTAAAGGTTTAATGACTTCACACATCTGTCACCATATCTGTAAAACAGGTAAGCTGCCCCGCGTTAATATACAAGACTTAACGTGACACACTGGTTTTCTTATTTTGAGTGAACCAGGACTGTTTTTTTTTTTTTTTGTCAGCCTGTTCTTGTTCTCGTGGCAACAAATACAGTAGCTTGGTCAGTAGCAGTCGACGCACAAGGCACCCTTTAGCATCTGTATGTTCTCATGCACTGCTGGTACATATATCGATGAAAAGTAACACCAAAATTTGTATCTATCTCATGTAATTATATGCCAGTAATTCGTATATAACCCCTGTTTGTTTTTCTCTCTTGCCAGTTTTTATAGTTTATATAGAATAAGCAAATAATTTTGTTACGGAATTCCCGTAGTTAATATTAATTTTTGTTATGCTAGGCTTGAAGATAGACAGCAGGTTGTCAAACTGCCCCCAAGTCATCCTAAAATATGCCTAGAAACGACCATCATGGAGGAGAAGCTCCTGGACCAACTGGTGGTACTCCCCATGACCCACGCTTGTTTTTCGGGTCTCATGTACCCACACAGATCTCTGTTTCCCCGTGCCCTACAAAATATTTGCTGACAGGCTCTCACCCATTTTTTAAAATTAAATTAAATTAAATTAAATTAAATTAAAATTGATTTAGAAAATTATATAAATGTCCAGGTCCCTGAGGTAGGGGGTGGGTGGGAGGGTTTATTTATATGATTTCAGATTTAGTTTAAGTTGTTGATTATTTTCAAGGATTTCATTATTATTTTCTGTTTATTTGATCTTGCTAATTATTTTATGTGCTACATTCCAGTGTATCTGCTTTTAATTTTATGACATGTTTGTTCTCATTTTCTTTTCTCCTTTTTGTATAAAGATTTCTTGAATAAAGAAAAAATTTGATCACAAAAAAAGAAAATTATATAAACATTGGGGGGAAACTATATTATAATTATTATTACATTTTAATTGATGTTAGATAATTATTTTATTTTACATTTTCTTGTTTGTTAATTTTTAACTTTTTTTTCTACTAATTTTCTTGTTTTTTTTCAGATTTTCTTGTTTTTGATTTTCTCTTTTCACTAATTTCTTGCAAATTTTTTGGGAGTCATTTCGTCCTTTATTGCTTGCTGCTTTCTTCCCATGTTTTTAAAATAAATCAAGACAATTTTCTCCGGTTTCAAAGGGTTAAGAGAGTAACTGCATTTTTACTTGAGAATGGATTTTTTAATAAGGTACCCACCGCTTTTTTATTGTTTTCCTAACCAAGTAGTTTTGTTGCCTAAACCTGAAGTAGTTTTGGTGATGGAACCTACTTTACCTGTGACCATGGACTTTTATTTTGAAAAGACACTATGCATGTAATGCCCAGTTCAGAACAAACATTTGCAACAGGATAAGTTGAAACAGGCAACTACTTGCAATGCGCCGTTCTGCAACGTTATAAAAACCTGCCGGTTCACACCAATGCAACTAGATAAGATGGTGTATCATCGCTATGCAACAACTCTCTGTACTTCTGTTCTGATTTGTTTATTTTGTGGCTGAATATAATTTGTAGCTTCTTAAAATATGAATGAGGATAGCGATAGTGAGATACTGGCTACAGCTGCATTTGTAGAAGTGATGAAACGTCAAACAAAACGAGCATCTCCATTACAGGCTTATTGGCTGTCGAAACAGGTGACGTGCAGCTGTCGGCGTGTTTGACCAGCTGAGTTGCAGATGACACCATCAGCCGGCTTGAGACCGCTCACACTGCTTCAACTTTTCTCTGCAATGTTCTAAAATCTTTGGTTTGAACTGGGCCTAATGAGCAGAAACTGACCCGCTGTCCCTGTGGATCCAAAACTAATGCTAGAGGGGTACCTAGGGTGTCACAGTTTGAAGCGTAGGGCTTCTGACCAAGCTGCTGTATTTCACAGATGTACTTTCCTGTGCAAGTTAATCACTTTTCAGATTTTATGACCTCCTCTTCCAAACCTCCCCCACATTCTGCAGAATTTTAAAATCTCGCCATCAAACCAAAAACCTTAACACTTTCAATGTTCTGTCAGCGAGACAGAGGCAACATTTCACATACTCAACATCTCTCTGATAAACCTCTATTGTCATCATGACACCTGACAGCAGAGCCAATTATAGGAGCTTTATTCTACTGAGCTGATGAGTGATAGAAACTATAACTGATATGTTGAGAAGAAGCTTGTTTTGTCCATCAAATGTTGTGCTACAGGTATAAAACACACACACACACACACACACACACACGCTCAGTCTACCAGGGGCACATACACTCTTAAACACACACGGTCCAGTTATAACAACCACGCTGCCTCTCACTCGTCATCCCGCTGTTGTTGGTCAAGTAATGATGATGCGTCAAGCAGACATCCTCGGAAATAGGCAATTAGGGAGTGAGTCAGCTGAATCCGGCTGCGTCTTGACAGAAAGTGTCCCTCGTCTGGGTAGATCTGTTCCGAAAACAACAAAAGAAACAAAAACAGGCGATATAAAACAGTGCTTTTTACGAGGTGATTTTCTTAAAAATACAGTTTTCCCAATGCAGTTTGGAACAGGATATTCTTCATGATTCAAGACTGCAAAGTATCTTCTGCAACATACTACTACCGCCACATATATGCCAGTGTACTGAAACAGTGTTACAGACTGAAGTTGTTTTTTTATTTACCTGCATAGTATAGTTGGCTCCGATCTTTATCAAGTGTTTAATGAGCTCTGCCGAGTGCTGGAAGTGAACGTTGGCTGTGGAGTAAAACAAGACATGCTAATAAGTGTCGACAGGGTTAATTCACACTGCTGGATATAAAAGCTATGGCTCTCATCAGGGTCAGGTTTTCATGCTCTGCATCATGAAGTGGCTCATTTAAAAAAGGACTCAACCACCAGCCTACCTTTAATAACACACATCACAAGTTACTGTGAAAATTACAACCTGTCTCTTACAATGAAAACTGTCACATGAGGGGAACAGAGGGAGGTGTGTGTACCGTCAGCAGTGCCGTGAGCCAGAAACAGAGTTCCTCCCTGCAGACCTTTCATGTTGGTCAGGACTTTGGATGCCTGGAAGATAAATTCTCTATCAATGCATTATATTTAATAACCTCATCATATTTTGTATGTAAAATGGACATTTTCTGTCACAATCAGCAAATTAATTCTTGAGTTGTGGCCAAAAACATGTTTTGTGAGGTCATGGTGAACTTTGACCTTCAACCAATCTTGAGTCCAAGTGGACGTTTGTGCCAAATTTGAAGAAATTCCCCAAGGTGTTCTTGAGGTATCGCACTCATGAGAAAAAGATGGACACATAGTCACAGTGACATTTGACCATCAAATTCTAATCAGTTCATTCTTGAGTCCAGGTGAGCGTTTGTGCCAAATTTGAAGAAATTCCCCAAGGTGTTCTTGAGGTATTGCGCTCATGAGAACAAGATGGAAACATAGTCATAGATCCAACACCATAGGGACTTTCCAGCTCTTTACATTAGCGGTGTTACAACCCAGCGTTGCCTGGCTGGCAGCGTATCATACCTCCAGGAAATGTGTGGCGCTGTTTGGCGAGTTGGGAATGAGAACAGGCTGAATGTGAATGGTCCAAGCCAGGATATAGTCCCATACATAACCTTCCATAAAATGCAAAATTGTTGCTTACAAATGTTTGCCCTGCTGTTAACAGTGTTGGGCAAGTTACTCTGAAAATGTAATTTAGACTAAATGAACAGCCTTGGACACACACACGTAAAGACTTCCAGTCTTCATGCTAAGCTAAGCTAAGTTTCCTTAAATGTCAAAGTACTCTTTAAATGTGAAAAATAACTACAGCTGTCAAATGTAGCACAGCAGGAGTATAATGTAGCACGAAATGGAAATACTCAAGTACACAAACATAGTACTTCCTCATGTGATTGTGAAACTCTAAGGACAGAAAATAGGTCCTGGAGAGGTCATGGACGGATGATTCGAGAGCAACTCAGCCTTTCCAGTGTGAAGCAGCCTGACTAGAAATAAAAATGTGTACTTCACGCTCACATTTGCAGAGAAGCTGGTGAGTATCTTGTATTTTATTCTCTGCAACAAGCAGCCAGATTGAATTTAGATGTAATGCTCAGGGGAGTGTGGATGCTAGCTGTTATATTAGAGAATATCTCAACCTCTTTATCTCGTCATTCACTGTTTCTCCCCCGCTGGGATTCAAACCAGGAAGATTTTTCCAGTTTGTCAGCCAGCACACATCAACAACTGGACATTTTATAACCAGTCTGCTGCTCCGTTAGTCTCAGGGGACAAGTGACAATGGGCCTGCTGATTATTGTCTGATCAGATTGTGCCACATTTCTCCTTCTTCTCGAGATGTCATTTAAAAGCAGACCCCCACCTCCCCTCCTGCTGTGAGAGTCACAAAAATAGCCGGCCCAGTTATAGGCAACCCACTTAGAAAAATACACTCTGACTGCAACCTTCACGTAGAGGACAATTGTGTGATTTCTTTTAGCCTCCACCTCTGGCAATTTTCTATTTTTCATTTTTGTGTGTTTTTCCTTGTTGCTGCAAAGGACAGGATTTGGAGCACTGCCTGAACTGCTGGTGGCAACATTTTCCTTTTTATTTGTGAAGTGAACCAAAGCAGAGTGAGATTTAGAAGGCTGTGTGACCTCTTCGCCATAAAGGAAGAGAGATTTTGTAGGAGGAAAAGTAATTTTTTAAGGAATTTAAACTAATATTTGGAGTTTTTAATTTTTAAACTGCACACCAGTGGTCTTTTTGTCATGGCTCCATTCAAGTATATGACCCAACATGGTTTCCCGTGCACTCTGATTTATTTCTCCAAGGCAATGATTTACAAACTGTGGGTCAGGTCCTCTCCAAAAGGTCATGAGATAAACCTGAGGGGTCTCAGATGATTTTCAGGATGGAAAAGAAGCCAAACGAAAACCTCTGCTACATAAAAATCATGATTCTTTGCTTGTTTCTTAAAAAAACAACTTGAATATTTTTACACTGTGTGGTGGTGGCAATGCAAGAACGAACTTCTCTGTCAAAATGCTAAATTAACTGACGTAATTCAGGTATTATAACTCGCTCAGCCATTACACTTTGTCAGATAAACTGATTAGATTAAAGCTGGAGAGCAGTGTAGTGTACATTTAAGCCTTTGCCAAACGAGTTCACGCTTTGCTGATTAAGGCCCAATCCCAATACCCCCCGTTGTCCACTACCCCTTAGCCCTTGGCCCTCGAAATGAAGCAACGAGGGGTAGGGGTTGAAATCTTTCCCTAGGAATTGGGACACCACTCACTACGTCACCGTGTCGGTTACATTCACGCATACATGCGAGCCGTCTACATTTCCAACCGGCATCTACAATGGAGTCTCCAGCTGAGTTCATCCTACCGATCGCGTTTGCTGTATTCATCACGCTTTGTTTGATGAATGACAGACGACAAAATGATATGTACGACAGGGGACTTCTGCTAGCTACCTAGTTGGCGTTTTATCGTAATGTGAAAAATCCGACAATTTTGCAGAACATGACAGATGACAGACGCCGGATAGTGCTAGCTAGCTAGCTAGCTAGCAAACAAGCAACCTGACGACGGGTCCATGTCATTGGTCCGACATCCCATTAGTACGACAGTCCCGGCGGGCGTATTTCTACCTTGATGATGTGCCGCGACCGGCTGTGGGTCAGCTGGGAAAGGCTTGAGGCGGAGCAGGCTCACGGCTTATGTGTTTGCCACTTTCTTTTTCATTTTAACCCACACCATGATCTTTTCCTGACCCTAACCAAGTGGTTTTTGTGCCTAAACCTAACCAGACCTTAACCACAGGGCATCATGATGATCTCGGAAAACAACGGGACTTCGGAACAATGGGTTTAATATGGTTGGAACAATGGGATGTCGGACCAATGGGCAGTTCCCCCTGATGACGGTAATGTTAGCTAGCTGGCTAGCTTTCTGTCAACTCCAATCTAGACATCGTGAATAGCAATAAAAACTTTTTTCCCCCGTCGCTTGCTCGGTGGTAGCCATGGCGACATCTACCCCTCTCTGGCAAGTCAGCATCTGAAATCCCTCGCTCCGAAGGGCTAGTTTCATACCCACTACCCCTCGTTATGCCCCCTACCCCTACACGCAAAAAGAAATTGGGACACCACTACCCCTTGCGGGAACGCACAAATCTAGGGGTAGGGCTAAGGGGGGTATTGGGACGGGTCCTAAGTCTATGCCACCAGGGAAAGCTCTCTGTATTCCTCTGTAAACGGGAGTTCTGGTGTCTGTGGCGACTTTACCGTGCAGGTGCACCGGAAGTGATGCGCTTTATGTCAGACAGTGCAAAAGGGGACAAGAAGTGGGGCGAGACCAGGGCACCAGAGCAAACAGAAAAGATTTGTCATTTTCTCATAAACTATATTCTTTTAAGTTGATTTAGAGTTGTGTCTTGAATCTACACCAAATTGTATGCACCTGGCTGCTGATATGATCTGGGACAAATAAAACAAAGCCCAGCAGCAGATGGATGATGAGTAAAAGCAGCTCACTTGGTATCTGTTCTCCTCAGTCGAAGGTGAGCCGAGGTATCTCTCCGAAAACGCAGAAGCTGGAAGAGAGAAGAGGATACGATGTGTAGATTTATGGAAGAAAAACAAAAGCTGACACTTTAGAAACTTAAATACAGATTATTCTTTATGTTCAGTCTGCCTTTAAAGAGATTTTTACATGTAGCATGAGAGAAACTGTTCCAAATGTGTGCCTCGAGCATCCAAACACTGAGTTAAATCATTTTCCTGCTCTGTTAGAAACACAGGAAGCAGAAGATTCACAGACACACTTTAGTCTATTAAACTATAATCACAGACAGCCGCTGAGCAGCGATACTCGGCCGACGCTCCCAGAAATGAAGAAAGCTTTTCATTCTAAAAATTCAATAAGCCTGAATTCCCGAAAGTGGAACCATAGGATAATTAAAGTCACATTACCCAGACAATACAGCATGTAGGATGAAGACATCGCAGCGGCAGAAGTAATAAATATTTCCATGTTCCTGCTGTGTGAATTAAAGAAGAGGAGATATGTGATTTTAATTCGACTCTTCGCTCACCGTACATGGACCAGTCAGTGACAGGAGCCTGAGCCGCGGCACATCTGATCAGCTTCTCAGTCGACTTGAGCATCGTCAGTGTGAGGAAGCCGCCGTAGTCCTGTTGGAGGAACGGAAAACTGTTTTGATGACTGAATATATAAAAATAAGCTCTGAGTTAGAGGACAGCAGAAACACATATTCCTACTGCACACAGTTAGGTTTATTTTAAAGACTTTTCTATGGTCTTTACAAATTATCCCGTGTACATTAATGACTGATGATGATGATTAATGATGTGATCAAATCACAGTGTAACAGACCAACCTCTCCAAAGACTCCCACACGAGTGCGATCGATGAACGGCAGCTTCGCCAGGTACCTGAGGCACACAGAGAATTCATTTTAACACACATAACATGAGTTGAGTGGTCAGTGTGAGGAAGCCAAAGGTCACAGACACAAGGAATTACTGACAATAACTGCTGGGAAAAAGCACCAACTACTATGTTACCTAAAAAACAGCATTTTGCACTTGTGTGTTTTGCAACTTTATTCTTGAATCTGATCTTGATCTTTAATGTTTACCGTGACAGCGAGAAGAATCGTACTTCTCAGACAGAATCTATTTTCCTCGTCTTGACAATCAGGAGGCCTCCCATCTCCACACACACACACACACGTTTACTTTTTCATTCTGCAGACTAAATTCATTTTCAATACCCACTGCAACTTGCCAGACTGAATCCAGGGTTTCTCTTTCAAAAGACTTTCTGTTGTCTATAACAATCCAAATGTGTGACAATAATTCTACAAGAAAAAAATAAGATAAAAAGCAGTGCAATAACACAACTTGTTTTGCTCTTCAAAGTAGTTCTGTTGAGCAATTTTCAAACTTTTTAACAACCTGAAACCGGCAGACTTTTCTGTCTAGGCACAGAACATATTCCTTATTCTAAACACAAATAAAGCTCATCTTCACACTAAAGTATCTTCTGCAGTTCATTCACTAAAACTATGACGGAAATTTGACGAAAACGAGACGATGACGAGCTAAGGATAGGTCTTAATAATAAAAACGAAAGTAGAATAAAGACGAAATCTGTGTTTTGTTTTTGTTGGATGAGACGAGACGTGACACACCGGCGCAGCGGTAGCCGTTGGTACGAGTTGTGAGCTATAATTCAGCTGTACATATTATAATCAGCCGTGTGAGTCTGACTGTACATGGTGGAGCTGTTGAATGGATCTGTGTAAGTTGTTAGTTGCAGCGGTGGCTGTTTGCATGTAGCTCCGCTCGTTAGCCGCTGAATGGCAGCAGAGCAAGCGGCCACCTGCCGACTTCGCAGCTGAGCCAAAAATCAGCTTTAAAAATAACATTTTTACTGCAAACCAGACACAAAGTAACTCCCAGTGAGCTTAAAATAATGCACTCAGACTGGACAAAATGTGTCACATACTCCAGAGCCGCTAACTGGTCCTCTGCGTCCACCGTGCCGAGCCTGTGATGGACCTGTTGTAAAACCCTGTGAGGTGACAAGTAAAAAGGATGAAAGTCAGACAAAAGAAAGACTTCTAAAAGTACTTAACACATTGAAACATATACATGTGAATGTTCAGCACCTTTGCCCTCTGAACCTGGATCCTCTGCCGTCGAGTCGAGCTACAATGACCTGCTCTGACTCCACCAGCACTGAGTCCCAGTCCAGCCTGAACTCCTCTGTCACCGCCTGGCCGCCTAGAGCACTGCCGCTGTGACAATAAACACAGAATAAACAGATTGTTTTATTATTTACCGATAAACTCTTGTTTAAAACGTTGTTGTTGGTTCAAATGATTTTCATCATCTTTTTTTTTTGTAAATGTGAAGCACTTTTTGGAAAAGGGTTAGATTTGTGATGGAATAGTCAGGTTGGCCCATTGTATGGTCCATTGAGTTACTGAAACAGTCCTCTGTAAATTGCCTTGTGCTTAACCTGCAGCAGTCACAGATACCATTCTCCCCAGAGTAAATACATTTGAGCCAGTGGGCCTGTCACCACGGTATTTTGGGTAAAAAGAATGCAAGGTTTGATGTGGCAAACACCTGAAAACGATGCTATTGCCAAAAGACCCACAGGTTGCTTTAAAAACACCAATATTTTGGGGGTAAAGGGGCACAGGAAACACAGCAACAGGTTACTAGAAAACATCTGTGTTTGGCGACAGAAAAGCTGATGGAAAGGAGATGCATCCCTAAAGAACACCCACGTTTGGGAGCTAAAAGGCCACAGGAAACACAGCAACAGGTTGCTAAAAAAAATCTGCGTTTGGGGGCTGAAAAGCTTCAGGAAAAGAGCTGCCTTTCCCCTAAGAAACACCAGTGTTTGGTAGCTAAAGGGCCACAGGAAACACAGTCACAGGTTGCGAAAAAAAATCTATGGTTTGGGGGCTAAAGGACCACAGGCAACACAACGACAGGTCGCCAAAAAACATCAACATTTGGGGGCTGAAAAGCTTCTGGAAAAGAGCTGAGGCCACAGGAAACACAACGACAGGTTGCTAAAAAAACATCTACGTTTGGGGGCTGAAAAGCTTCTGGAAAAGAGCTGCCCTTCCCTAAAAAACACCAGTGTTTTGGGGCCAAAGGGCCACAGGAAACACAGCGACAGGTTACCAAAAATCATCTACGTTTGGGGGCTGAAACCCTCTGGAAAAGAGCTGCCCTTCCCTGAAAAGCAGCAGCATTTGGGGGCTAAAAGGCCACAGGAAACACAGTGACAGGTTGCTAAAAAAACATCTGCGATTGGGGGCTGAAAAGCTTCTGGAAAAGAGCTGCCCTTCCCCAAAATAACACTTGTGTTTTGGGGCCAAAGGGCCACAGGAAACATAGTGACAGGTCGCTAAAAGAGACACACGTTTGGGGGCAGAAGAGCAACACAGTGACAGGTGACCAAAATCATCAACATTTGGGGGCTGAAAAGCTTCTGGAAAGGAGCTGCCCTTCCCTAAAAACACCAGCATTTGGGGGCTAAAGGGTCACAGGAAACACAGTGACAGGTTGCTAAAAAAACATCTACGTTTGGGGGCTCAAAAGCTTCTGGAAAAGAGCTGCCCTTCCCTAAAATAACACTAGTGTTTTGGGGCTAAAGGGCCACAGGAAACACAGTCACAGGTCGCTAAAAAAGACACACGAAGAGCCACAGGAAACACAGCGACAGGTTGCTAAAAAAACATCAATGTTTGGGGGCTGAAACCTTCTGGAAAATAGCTGCCCTTCCCCTAAAAAACACCAGTGTTTTGGGGCCAAAGGGCCACAGGAAACACAGTGACAGGCTGCTAAAAAACATCTGCGATTGGGGGCTGAAAAGCTTCTGGAAAAGAGCTGCCCTTCCCTAAAATACACCAGCATTTGGGGGCTAAAGGGCCACAGGAAACACAGCGACAGGCTACCAAATGACATCGATGTTTCAAGGCTGAGAAGCTGCTGGAAAAGAATCACAGGTCCCTAAAGAACACCAATGTTTGGGGGCTAAAAGGCCACAGGAAACACAGTGACAGGTTGCTAAAAAACATCTACGTTTGGGGGCTCAAAAGCTTCTGGAAAAGAGCTGCCCTTTCCTAAAAAACACACCAGTGTTTTGGGGCCAAAGGGCCACAGGAAACACAGTGACAGGTTGCTAAATAAAATCTATGTTTTGGGCACCAAAGGACCAAAGGAAACACAGCAACAGGTTACCAAAAATCATCTACGTTCAGGGGCTAAAGGGCCACAGGAAACACAGTGACAGGTTGCTAAAAAACATCTGCGTTTGGGGGCTGAAAAGCTTCTGGAAAAGAGCTGCCCTTCCCTAAAATACAGCAGCGTTAGGGGGCTGAAGGGCCACAGGAAACACAGCAACAACCAACAAAACAATTGGTTTTGTTGGTTGTTGCTCTAGAACAGTGGTCTGCAGCTTGGCAGGCATCTTGCCTAGGTGCCACACCATCCCTCCACATCACAAAGACAGTCAGCTCAGACACTACGTCACTTTAAAACCATTGATATGATACGTATAAAACATGGAAATAAAATTTGGTTTGCAGAAACTGCATACAGAAAAAGGTAATAGGACATTCAAGAAGTTTCTTAAACTGCGAAACGTTGTGCTACATTTACATTTTATCATCTAACATGCTTTTTATTTCCATTTCTAACTCCTGTAGAAAAAGAAGCATCTCACTTTGAGCCGTCCTCTCAAGCTCACAGTGCTGCGGTGAATGTAAATGGTACAAAAATGTAAATGTAATAAAGTGGAATGGGCTTACACAATAAGGAGAAGGCCGTAGAGGTAGGACTCGGAGAAGTCAGGAGGATAGATGAGCTTCAGAGGCAGCTCTGGGAGGACGAGGCAGAAACATTAGCGGAAGGAGAGGTGAAGCAGAGGACAGACAGGTGCAAACACACTCATATCGTTCATTAGTGCAGATTATTTGTACCAAAGTTGTCATTAGCGATCATCCGGATTTCACTCTGAATCCTCTTTTTAGTCTCCAGCGCCGACCGCAGAGGGAGGTTGTTCTCTAAGATGAAGTACGCTGTGAAATGAAAAATCATCAGAGATTGAAACTTCTTTTGTGGACGATACTGGATCAGTATTTATTACTTGTGTGAGGCCTAAACATTGATATTTCTTATGTGTTCATGTTTTCTCTCAGTGATACAAGAATAAAGACAATATGGACAAGATAACATCACATAAAATATTCAGCAGAGGCTGCAGCGATGGAAGGGCATGCCTCCATTTTTATTTTATAACCACTAATCCACATAGTTGGCAGGTTTTCTATACTGTACACGTACTGTACTCTTCAATATCTGAGGCTCTCGCTGCATCACCTTGGAGCTGAGTGTTTCTTGGATATGAATCAGCAGCCTGTCATATTTTCACAGATTTTTTTCAACATAATTTTCCTCTTTGTCAGCGTGCACAGGAGTACCAACTGTTCGCCATCTTAAAATAAACAATTGTGGAGATGAATAGATGATGAATATTTAAAGTGCGATACAAAACACATCTTGAAATGCCCAAATTGCCTGTGCGGTTTGGCACGGCGTCAGATCCAACAGCTGCTGATGTTTTCATACAAATGAGATGATGATGCTTAATTGCTGCACACAGCTTTCCATTTTCGAGGAAAGGCACATCTGCCTGCCCACACAAACATCACATAAACACAAAGTGGTTTCATGTGACGGAGAATAAAGACCGCTCACAGTCCACGTCATCAAAACTCAGAAGCAGCACAGCTGGAACTCCAGGACCTGCAAAGGGAGGGAATAAAACATTGTTTTAGCTGTTTTAATGAATATAATAAGATATGTTGATTTATCTCCACCTTTTAAAGCTACATTTCCGACTTATTTGCGAGGTTAAGAGACATTAATACAGAGGTTTACATAGCATTTCTTCTTTTGGTTATACTACCCTAATTCTGGAAAGAATAATAACACATTTTATAATTACTTGTTATCTACTAGATTGACTCAGACATAGGAAATAGCATTTTTCATTTCTTCAACCCATTCACCAGAATAAACGCTGGCATTGTGCGTTATTTCTGCAAACCACAGATATGCAACATTTGTATGTTATTATGTCAGTGATATGTTGAAACTTTTCTTTTCTTTACATACCAAGAATGCTGTTGGCAACTTGAGGTTATGTGTAGGGCAGAAAACCCATTTATAGTTGGCTTAAAACCACCGGTTTTCGTGACACAATCACTGCTGGAAATGCAGCAATGGCCAGCTGAAACACACCCGCCTTACATGGCACAATTGTTGCATAAAATGCACTTAAGTCTCACTAGTAAGCACCCGCTATTGGTGGCACATTTGCCACTGTCAATGCAACAATGACTTGCTAAGAAACATCCACTTTTGGTGGCACAATCGCCGTTGGAAATGCAGTGATGTCTCACTAAAAAACACTCACTATTGGTGGCACATTTGCCATTGGAAATACAGCAATGACTTGCAAAAAAAACACCCAACTTGTTTAGCACAAACATCACCAGAAATACAGCCATGGCTCACTAAAAAAACATCCACTTTTTGTGACAAAATAGCCGTTAGTGATGTTTCATTAAAAAGCACCTGATTTTGGTTGCACACTCACCATTGGAAAAGCAGCAATGGCTCATTAAAAAACACCCACCGTGGATAGGACAGTAACCTTTGAAAGAACAGTGATGTCTCACTTAAAAATAAATACTTTTGGCAGCACAATCACTGTTGGAAATGCAGCAATAACTTGCTAATAACCACCCGCTTTTGTTGGCAAAATCACTGATGGAAAAGCAATAATGGCTTAATAACTGCTTGCAATGTGGTGATGACTCACTAACAAAGACTGGCTTTTGGTGGCACAGTCGCTGTTGGAAAAGCAGCAATGGCTCACAAAAAACACCTGCCTTTGGTAGCACAATTGTGGCTGTTAAAGCAGCGATAGCTCATGAAAAACATGGGGTTTTGGTTTGCACAATCACCACTGGAAATGCAGTGGTGACTCAATTAAAAAAAATGGCTTTTGGTGGCTAACAGTGATGGCTAACTAAAAAACACCCACTTTGGGTGGGACAATTGCCCTTGAAAGAACAGTGATGTCTCACTTAAAAATAAATACTTTTGGCGACACAATTGCTGTTGGAAATGCAGCAATAACTTGCTAACCACCACCAAGTCACTGTTGGAAAGCAATGATGGCTTATTACAAAACACCCGCCTTTGGTGGCATAATAACTGCTTGCAATGTCGTGATGACTCACGAAAATAGATTGGCTTTTGGTGGCACAATCGCTGCTGGAAAAACAGCAGTGGCTCACGAAAAAAACACTTACCTTTAGTCATGCAATCATTGCTGGAAATGCAGTGATAACTTGGTGAAAACATGCTTTGGATAGCACACTTGCCTTTGGAAGAGCAGTGATGTCTCCCTTAAAAACAAATGATTTTGGTAGCACAATCACCACTGGAAATGCAGTGATGACTCACTAAAAAAAACTGGCTTTTGGTGGCACAATTGCCGTTGGAAATGCAGGGATGTCTCACTAAAAAACACCCACTATTGGTGGCACATTTGCCATTGGAAATATGGCAATAACTTGCTAAAAACCACCTGCTTTTGTTGGCACAGTTGCTGTTGGCAAAGCAGCAATGGCTCACAAAAAACACCTTCCTTTAGTCGCGCAATCATTGCTGGAAATGCAGTGATAATTCAGTAAAAAATGCTTTGGATAGCACAGTTGCCTTTGGAAGAACAGTGATGTGTCCCTTAAAAACAAATGATTTTTGTAGCACAATCTCTGCTGGAAACACAGCTGTGATTGCTAAAAAATGCCTGCAGTGGATGGCACAGTCACCACTGAAAATGCAGTGATGACTCACTAAAAAAATACTGGCTTTTAGTGGCGTAATTACCGTTGGAAAAGCAGCAATGGCTCAGGAAACAAAGACCTACTTTTGGTCGCGCAATCATTGCTGGAAATGCAGTGATGACTCGCTAGAAAAATGCTTTAGATAGCACAATAGCCTTTGGAAGAACAGTGATGTCGCCCTTAAAAACAAATGATTTTGGTAGCACAATCACCGCTGGAAATGCAGTGATGATCCACTAAAAAAAGACCTAGCTTCAGTCACACAATCATTGCTGGAAATGCAGTGATAACTCAGTAAAAAAATGCTTTGGATAACACAGTTGCCTTCGGAAGAGTAGTGATGTCTCCCTCAAAAACAATCCCCGCTGGAAATGCAGTGATGACTCAATTAAAAAATACTGGCTTTTGGTGGCATAATCCCCGTTTGAAAATCAGCAATGGCTCACCAAAAAAACCTGCCTTTGGTGGCGCAATTGCAGCTGGAAAAGCAGCAATGGCTCACGAGAAAACACTCCACCTTTGGCCACACAGTCGTCGGTGTAAATGCAGTGATGACTTGCTAAAAACCAACAGCTTTAGGTGGCACAATTGCCTTGACTGTGTGTTTGTTGGTGGTATGGATGTGTGGTCTGCAGCTTGGCAGCTGGCTCCGTAATCAGATCTATGTCTCTTTAGGAACGTTGATATGATACTTCTATAACATATCTGTGGTTTGCAGAAACATTAAAAGCCAACATTTTCTTCTGGTCACTTGGCTGATTTCTTTGACTGTCCCCGACCTCTGCAGTGCAGGATAGCGTGCTGTGCATCGGTGCTGACGTCGGCGTCAAAGAACGAACAGTCCTCCTTCAGTCCACAGGTGAGGCATCGTCGTGGAAACAGGCCGAGAGTGGACACACTGTCGGAGGACAGACACAACATTATGCATCACACACAACAGAGGAAACCGCTGGAGAAATAATGAGCAAACGACTTTTAAAAATACAGTGATTAATTTGTTGAGGGTATTTTTACCTGTATAAATGTCTCTGTTGTGCAGAGTCCTCTGTGCTCAGAAAGTATCTGTGTGGGGAGAAAGCAGAGCAGCTAAAGTAGGACAAGGTCAGAGATCCATTATACGTCTGACTTCACGACTCTCTTCGCTACTGTGGCAGAAACAGTAAACACAGATTTACAGTCATGAACCCCGGGGCTTGCAAGTAAGGAGGAAACTTAAGGAGTTTTGTGCAACCGGTCCCTGAACTATCCCTTTAAGCACTTTTTTTTTTTTACTTTACCAATTTGATTAAAGTGGTTTGTTGATGTGAGAAGCAAAACCAAGACGTACATGATCTGGTTGTTTTCATCGTACGCTACGATTTTTGTCACCTCCCAGTCTCCTGACGTCAAGTGTCGAACTTCGTCCTGATCACTTCGTAACTGAAACCAGAAAATAAAATACACCACTTATCCTTTGCTGCTGTGCTTCATATAGTCACTTATTAGATGAACATTTTCCGCACGGAGACGACAACAAAAAGTCCTTCTGGAGTCACCTTTTTGGTGAACATTGTGATGTGGTGGAAATCTCCCTGACCTCCTTGTTTCACGGGCAGTGTGAGGAAAAACCTGCTCCTGTCCTTGGAGAACAGCGGCTCCTGTCTCTGCAGAGACAAACAGAGGTGACACACTTTATGCATGAATGCCTCCCGCTCTGTTCTTCCCTTAATAATGTCACATATAGATATTGCTGTGAGCATAACACAGTATATAAAGTCGGTGCAGTGATGTTATGAGGAAGGACTGTATTGAGGTTTACCTGCAGGGAGAGCCACGTCTCTGAAGAGTCCTCGTGTCTCTGAATTAAACACAAGAAAATCCGACTTGAAACACATTTATACGATATACATGCTGTTGAGTAGCTGAGGAAATTTCAAATAAGTGGTATACAGGATAGTCCATCTGAACAACACAGTGTCACATAGTCAGCAGTGTCACCCACCTGCAGACAGACTCCAAGGGTCGCGTCACACACCGTCAGCAGCGAAGCATTCTGGGGTCGGTTGACCCACCGTACTGTGAGGTGAGTATCACTGATCCACTTCACCATGGTGACGTAGAAATCCCTGCAGAGAGGACAGTCAGACTTTGCGTCTTTGTTTTTACTGCGGATGTTCTCACATGTGTGTGTGTGTGTGTCACCTGAGCCTGAGCTGCTCAGGAGGCTGCAGTTCTTGAGTGTGTGTCGCTCCGAACAGGTTGACCACCGACAGCTTGATGGCAGGGTTCGCCTGACCGGCCTGAAAGTGTCAAACACACATTAGAATCTTATTATCACATGTATTTGGAAATCAATACATCACTATACCATTTCTGTGAGTGTGCCAGAGGCAAGTTTGTTCTCAGAATGCTAATATAATTTTAGTTTATAACTGCTACAGCTAGAAAATTACATTTTGAATCTCCTGTGTGCATGTTTTAGTTTAATCTTTTTTTTTTTTTTTTTTCAATTAAAGCAGGAAAAAAAATCAGTGGCAGTTAATTTTACAGGTTAAAATTAATTACATATCTGATGTCTCATGCTTTTGCTTTGAAGTTTTCCTGAGAAGAACTCTGTAATTTGGCACCATTTATCAGGAGAAAATGGGTGTCTTTGAGAGAAAAACTCAATTTAAACCCAAATAAATACTCGTGTATCAACCTTTTTTTAATTTTATTTATTTTGCTTTTGCCTTTATTTAATAGAACAGCTGAAGATAGACATGAAAGGCGAGAGAGAGGAGGGATGACGTGCAGCAAAGAGCCTAAGAGACTAATTTATCAACTTTTGACTCCGTACACATTTATTTAAATTGTACGCTCATATGAGGACAAATTTCACAGTTGTTTTAAATAAAAGAAAATCCAAGTTTCTTTAGCTCTACATTGGAGTTAGTTTCTGGGGTTTCAAGTAAAATATTATAAAGCTGCCGTGTGAAATCGGTTGTGTTCGTATGCTGTCGTAGAATAGTGAATAGTGTGTCACTAGCGGTGGGGAAAAAAATCAGTATCGCAATATTTTGCGTGGTGATATTGTATCGATACATAGACACCAAGAATCCATCTTTTCATTTTTGCAAATACATATTTTAATACAACATTTGGTGCTAGAATAATACAATCAGTTGCTTTTTCAGTCCACTAGATGGTGCTGATGTTTTGTTTTTTTCCGGTGAGGTCAGCAGAGGTCTCAGTCAGTGGCATTTGGCAGGAAGTTCATCAAAACAAAGATGGAGGTACCAAAGGAAGAAATCAGAGATGCGCCGTCTGTGTTCAAATCAAACGTTGGGACATATTTGTAATTTTTAGCACGGAAGGAAAGAAGGACTCGGATATGACATGTAATTTGCAAGCAGTACATGAAGCACAAATATCAAGAAAAATGATAACATAAACGAAATCTGTAAGTCTACAATATCCGGCAAGCAAAACACTCCTGGTGGGGTACGAAGCCATGTGGCAGAACCAGTTGGAACTGTCCCTCCTGGCTTCCTTACAGTCAAGATGGCGGCAAAAATAACAAAAACAGGGGTTAATTAATTTCATATCATGCCTAACTTAAGAGGATCATTTCGTATTGCATATGGCAATAATCTGCAGGTGCTCTCGTTCAGTTGTCAGTTTGTCAGTTTTTGTGACACAAAAGAGGTCAAAGTTTGGCCTGTAAGCGTCTACTCGAATCGCAACCTAGTTTAGATTGCCACGCCCACTTCCGCATTCGGAGAGCCCTGACGGAAACCTCCGACCACCTCCGAGCTACCGCAAATCCAGTTTATATCCTCATACATCCATGGTTTAATCAGACAGAGATCACGATTACCCCGTGCGAATCCAGATGTGTCCACCTCTTTACATCTGGTCAACTTTACCGAAGGATAGATCTAGCAGAAGAGAAGACCAATTTCATTGAACTAACATGATAGCAGCTGTTTTGTGGGGCATTCTAGTGTTCTGAATGTAGCGTATATTTGTGGCGGTGATAAGTAGTCAAGTAGTCATTTAATAGATTTGCGGCAGTACTAAATTTACAAGTAGTTGTATATTGATGTAACGGGGTAAACCAAAACAGGCTATGTTAGCTAGCTGGCTGACTAGCCCCCCTTATTTGCAGTAGCTCAGAGGTGGTCGGAGTTTTCCGTCAGGGCTCTGCGTATGCGGAAGTGGGAGTGGAGATCTAAACTGGGTTGCGATTCGAGTAGACGCAGCCTGTACCAGACGGTAAGATTGTTGTTTATAGCCAACTTCCGTAAAACTTCCAGCCACGATTAATAGGAGTGATGAGTCAGCAGTCATGGACAGTATACAACAGTCAATTAAAGAGGTTTCTCAACAATGGTGAATCACTGAGCATACACTCATAAATGTGAACGCAGAATATTAGGATGATTGGTCCAATAGTTTGCATGATTAGCTGCAAACTAGCTTCCGCTTGGTGAAGCTAATGAGAGAAACTAACAAAATTAAAGCAGGTAAGAATATAGGCAGGAAACAACTGTTATATGTTTTTTTTTTTTTTGTATTTCTCTGGAACTTCATGCATGATGTCAGGACTTTATTTCCCACAATCCACTTGCAGCAGACTTACCATAGGATAAGGGTACTGCAGTCCTTTGGGGTAGGTGCTGCCAGTGAACTGGGGCAGAATCATGTTGGGAACCAAGGTGTCGTTGATGGTGAGGAAAGCCAGTCGCTCTCCGTCAGGCGACCACCAGTGAGCCAAGTGTGAGCGCAGAATCTCCTCTGGGAAGAAAAACACACAAATAATCAACATTTGTGTCACAGTTTATCCTTTTTACTTCTGTTTCTGACTCGACAACGCTCACAGATGCCGACATATGTGCTTGTGTTTTTTGATCATCTGCAGTCAAATGCTTCTCTGTAGGACACTACATGTTGGATTAAATCTCATACAAACTGGTTTAAAATACCTTAAAAATCAGACAACAGACACTTTGACAGGGAAAAGGCTGCCTGGTTGCTCAGTTTATTGATGAAATGGGATTTATTCTGCTCTTTCCTTCACTGTCAAAACATCAGCCAAATGGTTACAGTCTAAAGTAAATGCAAATCAGAAGGAAAAAGCACACACACAGCTCGCAGTAAATCTACAAACAGAAATGATTCTATAATGTTCCCCATCTGCCCCATTCTGTGTTTGTGCAGGGACCATCACCACATTACTGAATTTGTTTGCAAAGCGACTTAATGGATTGTAGAGGCGTGTTGTTGATTTTTCATCGCCGTTCTGCAGGGTTTGTCTCGTCCGCCCGGCGTCGTTTCATTTAAGGCAAAAGACAAATCTTTGAAACATTTGAAACAGCTGAACAGAGGATGCACAGTGTACTCCTGAAACTACATCCTCAAGTGTTGAGTCACACAAAAGCTTCCAGACTGGAGCCTGAAGACACCAGAATGTATAAACCTGTTCAACAGGTTGTTGTTTTTTATCATCAAGAGATTCATAAAAAAAAACTGCTCATTACATGACGAGTACGACTACAGTGGTGTAACATTAAATCCTTTACTTAAAGGGATAGTACAGATTTTTTGAAGAGGGGTTCTTTAAGGTACTTAAGAGAAGCTGGCAGGAGTACCTCCATAGGCGTTTCTAGCCCATTTTTGGGGGTGCTGAAGCACCCCTAAATTGAATCTCAGCACCCCTAAAATTTGAGAGTTTTTTTTTTTTTTTTACTGTATGTCCTTTTTAAACAAGCTAGAAAAGTGTCAAAACCATACAGTACTTGGTTGCAATGTAATATTTTAACAACAAAAATGTGACTTGGGCTCTGAGCGCTCTATCTGCACAGAGCAATGCGCTGCCTTCCAGAGTGGGTGATATGCAGTAGTGGTGTAAGTACCTGGCTTAAACCAGGATATGTGGCACATTTCTTAACTTCTACCACTCAATACCAACACATTATTATCATTACCAGTCCTCATTTTTGCTGCATTTAATCGTAGGTCACTGTTTATGTTGTTAGGTAGGAGTTAGCTGACGTTTTTTCTAGCTAGGAAACGTTACAGGTGGTCAGTACCACTGTCCTCTGTTTGAATTGGAATGAGAGAAGCTAGCTGTTGTGTCATGTGCATGTGTTAATATTAAAGCCAAGGTGCTACTGACTAGCTAACTGACTGGATGCCCATTAACATTATAACTCCTATTGTGTGTATTTATTATTATTATTTTGTAGATTTCAAGCACTTTTCTTTTTTGAAGTGTATTTTTATTTATGTATTTGTATTATATAATACAGACAAGAAGGAAAAAGGCAGAGACAAACATTGAAAAAGTCAATTACTGTTAATGTGTTAATGTTACATGTTGTGCATTGCATTTCAAATAAAAGTCCAAAAAATAAGTCCAAGGTCCATTTTTGGTATTTTTGGTACTCACTATAGGGGGCTGGTTTACTCCAGAAACATACATACTGTTTATGTGTATGTTGAGGAGCTGCTGTATCAAAATGAGTTGTCTTCCCCCAGAAATTAGGGTTACGATATGTTTCTTTTATGATTCCAATCCATTCCTCTTTTGCTGTGGCTCAGCATTTAAATAACCTTTATCAAATATAATGGTTTAGTCACAGACTTTCCCAAAAAGTGTTGTGCTTTTCTTTCACAAATGTGGGAATGGAATTGACCCCTAAACCTCTGATCCTAGAATCGCCCCTGAGTACCTCCACAAAAACTTCTTTACAAGTAAAAGTCCTGAATTCAAAATGTTACTTAAGTAAAAGTAAAGCTCAATAAAATGTACATCAAGTAACAAAAGTTGGCTTTTTCAAAGTGTTATATCGTCACTGAATGTTGAAATACTTTGTTTAGATTACTAGTACAATACTGCATAATATCATATGTTTTTTATGTAAAAATTGTCAAATAAATGCAGAGAAGCTGATGTATGTAGACGCTTAAGATGGAAATACTCGAGTAAAGTATGAGTATGTCAAAATTGTGTGTCAAAAGTAGGCTACAGTATGCAATTCCATTCCACCACTGACGACTCAGACAGTTGTTTCAAACACCATTAAATCATTTACAAATAAATAAACATAAGCGCTAATTTTTGTGACCAATACATTGTGTTGTTTTCTGGTGCAACATAAGATGTCGTCGTTATGAGATCTTGATGTTTTCGTATGAGATCCTAATGACCTCATTACGAGATGCCGATGTTGTAATGATGAGATAAGATGTTGCTGAATGAAAAAAAAAATCATTCTGATTGTGATTGCAACGCACTTAGCTTCACAATAAAAGCTAGCAAGTGTTTTGTGACCACTTTTAATGATGCAGCAGCATTCACAGTAACTTCCTGTAAATGTCAAGAATGTAACTGTTGGAAAGATTTAATTTTAAGATTGAAACAATCTCTGATAATCTCATTTTTGATGCCTACAATCAATCAAATTTATAGATTAAATGTTGAATAAATAAAGAATAAATGTTGGTGTTGTACATTTCTGCAAACCATGGACATATTACATTTGTACATTAGGGGATACGTTGAAATTTGAATGTTCCAACAACACTGTGGTAAAATACCTGGATTTGGTTGTACAATCAGGACTCGGACACACAACTGGTTTTGTTGGTTATTGGTCTCAAACAGCAGTCTGCAGCTTGGCAAGTGTCTCGCCAAGACATCACACGCCCACGTCCAGGTGACAAAGTCAGCTCATATATTATGTCACTTCAGGACAGCTGATATGAAACGTACAAATGTAACATACTCGAGGTTTGCACGAACATACAATGTCAACATTTTCCTCCTGTGACTGGGCTGAAAAATCTCATTTGTCAGACACAAACGCACCTTCATACAGCCAGTCGGCCAGTCCATTAAAGATGACTCCCTCCATCCCAGAGGAGGTGATTCTCAGAGAGTTACTCTTCACGTCTGACTGGTAGTAGATGTTGTTCTCAAAGATGTAGATCTAAGGAAGAAGAGGAGAGAGAGAAGATATTGATGGTACACTCACGCACATATATGATATTTATTTATAAGCTGTGGTCCTTGCAGCTGTTTTTTTTTCTCCTCAACTTTTTCTTTCTGCTGCTTTCAATGTGCTTTTCCTTTTGATTTCCTCTCTGATGAGATTTTGTTTTTCCATATTAAAGCCCCTGGTTTTATCTCACCACGCTGCAAAACACGTGTGTTTGTTTTCCGTCTTTCATCAGTGTTTTTTAATATTTGCATTTGCAAAAACAAACAGGATCAGCCCGGCACATCCTGCAGGTTCACCAATATCCTGAGTCCTCCTGATTTTATTTTGCTCCCCTTTTTTGTGGAGTTATTTATTTATTTTCCCTTGCTCTGTTCTGAATATCCATTAGTCACTCAGCAGCCATTCTGAGTTGGAAAACTTCACCTGCAGCAACTCAGCTCTGTCTTACTGCTGCATACCTGAGGACATGTCAAGCAAATGCTGGTGGCATCAAATTAAACATTTATCATATGAATATGCTGGATCAGCAGAATGAAAACTGTAACAGTGACTCACAGGAAGAGTCTGAGTGTCTGAATCTTTGCCAAATTATCCAATAAGAACTAAACACATAATAGGTCCAAAAAGAAAGTCCATGACCAAACATCCATATGTGAGCAGGTCAGAGTGAGAATGTGATCTGGATGCACCCCGTCATGGTGATTTATCTTGTCTGTTGTCAACATGTTTCAGCCATTTTCTGGGTGTGTTTTGTGGCAGAAAAGTGTTCAATCAATCAGTGTCGTCTGTGTTACGTCACAATGTTGCACACAGTCCAAAAGAGTTGACCCCCAGTGTTGATGCGAAAGCCTTGCACAGTCTTTAGCAGTGAGTGTCCTTGGTACAAATGTCTATATCTTGACAACCAGAGACAAGGAAAAGAGTTTTATGATGTTACACAGAGGACTGCTCTGATTGCTGAAATTCACAGGAAACTATGATGATTGGTCAAATTTGCAGAGTTGCAGTGATTGGAGAAAATTGCAAGGCTGTGCAGAATTCATAGTGATTGGTTGAGAATACCTTAATTTTTGCAGTCACAACATCCTGCAGTGCTTATCTATGTTCACTTTAAACCCAGGCTCCATTGATAAAAACAGTAATTTTACACAGGAACACAGGAGCTGCTGGTCTACCACTGCCTCCATCTGTTAGTTAGTTTGTGTTATTGTGTGACTTTAGTGTTTTAAAGGGTTAATTCAGATTCAGCAAAGTGACACAGTAACATACCCAAAACGACAAATGTCATCAACATTATGTACATGTCATAAACGTTTATGACTGCTGTCATTAGGTGTCATTCGGTTTTTGTCATGACAAGTTGTCATTGTTTGGGTTGTCTTGATTATGACAACTTGACATTAATCAAAGTGACATTACCAGGAGTTGTCTTTGTCATGACAAGTTGACATTAAACTTGTTTGGGATGTCCTTATAATGACAACTTGACATTAACCAGGATGACATTACCAGAAGATGTCTTTATGTTAATGTCAAGTTGTCATAATAAGGACATCCCAAACAAATTAAATGTCAACTTGTCATGACAAAGACAACTTCTGGTAATGTCATCCTGGTTAATGTCAAGTTGTCATTATAAGGACATCCCAAACAAATTTAATGTCAACTTGTCATGACAAAGACAACTTCTGGTAATGTCATCCTGGTTAATGTCAAGCTGTCATAATAAGGACATCCCAAACAAGTTTAATGTCAACTTGTCGCGACAAAGACAACTTCTGGTAATGTCACTTTGATTAATGTCAAATTGTCATTATAAGGACATCCCAAACAAATTTAATGTCAGCTTGTCATGACAAAGACATCTTCTGGTAATGTCACCCTGGTTAATGTCAAATTGTCATTATAAGGACATCCCAAACAAATATAATGTCAACTTGTCATGACAAAGACAACTTCTGGTAATGTCACTTTGATTAATGTCAACTTGTCATAGTCAAGACAGCCCAAACAATGTTAACTTGTCATTACAAAAACCAAATGACACTTGACAGCAGTCATAAACATTTAGGCCATGTACATAATGTTTATGTAAGTTCATGACACTGTCATGTCATAGTTATGACAGTGTCATGTCACCCTTATGTAGATACCTTCAAGTAAAGTGTTACCAACAAGACAAAGTGATTGAGGCAGCAGCAGACCAGCAGCTCCTGTGTTCAGCAAGGTCAAATTACTGTTCTTGTCAGTGGAATCTGGTTTTGAAAAGAGCATAGATTAGTTTTACTTAGTTTTATCAGAGAGGGCTGACTTTGGGACTGAACATACAACTGGATAAATGAGATTTGGATTTGGACGAGTTTGTTAACAGATGTTCTCTATGTCTAATTGACATACAAATGGTCATTAGAGGGTGATGTATTTCTTTAAAAGTTACACTACCAGAAAACAATATTGGAATAAATTATTTTTCCAGAGACCTTCATCTTCTACATCTACTCCTCTCCAGGAAATTATGATGAAAAGTGTAACCTATACTGACTCGACTAATAAGTCTGCTGCAGAGGTCCTCACTCGTGTATAATAGGCACCCTGAGAGTAATGTAATGTAAAAAGTGTCACAGCGTGAATTAGGTCAGAGGCAGACAAACAGGCAGACGCAGCACAGTGTGGATGTAAACAGAGTCTATACTGTAAACTATAACAAGAAGAAGAAGAAGAAGAAGAAGAAGAAGAAATCCCTGCAGAGAGGTGAGGCTACATGAAGTCATAAAATGACAGCGAGGAGAGAAGATGGAGAAGCAACAGAAAGACTGGATCGCATTAACAAACACTCACCAGCTGTTGTCCTTGTCTTCCCCAAGATGCATGTTGGAGCACTGCGTTGTGAACCTCCGGAGGGTTGAGCTCCCTTACCTCCCTGATGCAAAAACACATATACAGTATATATTATACATAACAGCCACCATCTGTTTCTGAATGCCACCGTGAGCGTGCATCAGGTGCTGAAATGCCTTGCTTACCTGGTGTAGATGTTGTAAACAATGTAGGACGCTGTGTATGAATATCTGTACATCTGCAACGAGAGTTCATCATATAATGCAAACAATGATCTATTTCTGGTGCCTCATGGCAATGTCAGAATTTATAACAGTTTATCTTTCGTCAAGAAAACAACAAACAATACCAAACATAAGACATCTGTATCAGTAGACAAATCACTGGAGCAGATGATAACTAACAAAAAGCAGAAAGATAACACGAAAATGACAGAAGAATAGCATACCATACTTGCATTTTTCCAGATTTTTTCATGATAAAAAAGCCCAAAAATTCTGAAACTTCAAAAAATAAAAATAACATTCTACACTCTCCAGAACACAACTTGATAAGTCTTGTCTTTCCTTATTTCTTCTTACTAGAGGAAGTTTTATTATGTACTTCTGATTATTGTTTGAAGACATTTCTAATACGGGGCAAACTGACTGAAATTAATGATTCACTGACAAAGACCATTCCAGTACGATAAACATTTAGAATGGTTCATTGCATATGATGGATTAAGGATGCTGCGTCAATAGTTTTAGATGGAAATGAGACGTGTTGATGTGCAGTGGTCTTTGTTCCCAAACCTAGCTTTATAAAACGACACTTAACCCTAGAACACTAACGTTACAATTAGTAACACCATCACTAACGTTGGGTATATTTTACCCAATAAAATGTACTTCTCATCCAATTAAGTTCAACAATACACAGCAAATTGAAGTACTCTTCTTATATTTCCTCCTATACAACGTATCATAAAACAGAAAAGGGTATCATGGGGGGAAAGTATAAAAATTAGTGAAAAATTAGGGATAACTTAGCTTTCGTATCAAAGAAGAAATATAGCTAATGATTGCCAACGTAAAGGACTTGTTGGCATGATAATTAATACAAAAAACACTAACTTCAGCTAAAATCCAGCCAAAACATATTTGACCCTCAAACACTAACATCGGGTGAAAATCACCCAAACACCTGCCTGTTGAAAAAAACAGGTATGGGAGCAGAGACACACAACTACCTTCAATGACGTCTTTGAGCAGGATGAAGCTACGCAAGGACCCACACAACTCAGACAAAAGCAACACAATGAAAATCGCATGATCACAATCGCACGGGTGAAAATCACCCGACGTTAGAGTTCTCGGGTTAAAGACGTATTTCACTGCTGGGAAGATGGTCTTTTTATATAAAACACACAAATACTTTTTGAATTGCTGCTACATGACTAGAGAAAACAGAGAAAGAAGAAACGCTCCCACTGGTGGGTGACAACATTTAAATATGTGCCACTACAAAGTGCACCTGCCACCAAGATGAACCCACCAAACGCAACGGTTCATGGAACCCTGCCGTAACACCACATTGTAGTGAATAAATATGAAGCCAAACGCAGCAATATTTTACTTTATCGTGAACATGAAGATGTGATTCACCTTATAGGTAACAACATGTAAGGTAAGGTAAGGTAAGGTAAGTTAAGGTAAGGTAAAACTCTAATGTCCCTGTAGGGCAAGTTGGTTTGCAGTCAGTAAAGGGAGACACAACAATACAATATGACAATACAGCTCACATACACAACACCAAGACCACACACAGGACAAGAAACATGACCTGGCATCAATGGGACAAAGGAATATCTGTAACTACTGGTAGAGCATTTTGAGAGGATAAACCTCCGCCCTGAAGGAAGCAGCTGAAACTCGATGGACTGAGCCCTTGACATGCGCCTCTCCTCATAAAGTTGTGTTTTAGGTTAAAGGAATAGTGCACCCAGAAATGAAAATTCAGCCATTATCTACTCACCCATATGCCGAGGGAGGCTCAGGTGAAGTTTTAGAGTCCTCACAACACTTGCGGAGATCCAAGGGGAGAGTGGGTAGCAACACAACTCCACCTAATGGAGGCTGACGGCGCCCCAGATTCAAACACCCAAAAACACATACCGTACTGTAGGTGGCAAATAGCCGCCGGGGGTTTGACCCCATTTTGCGTATTAAACGCCGGTCCAATTAAAAGCCCGGGCGATTATTTCCTCATTCATTGCCTCATGGCTGTCCTTCCTTGAGGGACTGTTTGCGCTTTTACGCACGGTGGTGAAGTGGTGCACATGACTCGTGCTACGGACGGACGGACGGACAGACAGCCACGTATCCAGGGGCGATTCTAGGATCAGAGGTTTAGGGGTGCTGAGCACCCAGAGAGCTGCCCGGCCAGGCAAGATAAATTTCAGTGTTTTGTACATTTTAATGCAATTTCATTCCCACATTTGTGAAAGAAAAACACTTTTTGGGAAAGTCTGTGACTAAACCATCAGATTTGATAAAGGTTATTTAAATGCTGAGCCACAGCAAAAGAGGAATGGATTGGAATCATAAAAAAAACATATAGTAACCCTAATTTCTGGGGAAAGAAAACTCATTTTGATAAAGCAGCTCCTCAACATACACATAAACAGTATGTATGTTTCTGGAGTAAACCAGCCCCCTATAGTGAGTACCAAAAATACCAAAAATGGACCTTGGGCTTATTTTTTTTCTGTAGTTTTGTTGTTAAAATATTACGTTTCAACCAAGTACTGTATGGTTTTGACACTTTTCTAGCTTGTTAAAAAGGACATACAGTAAAAAAAAATAAAAAAATAAAAAAAAATCTCTCAAATTTTAGGGGTGCTG